CAAACGTTTAACCGTCCGGTATCCGACCGCCCATGGCGGATTCCGTTTTCAAATGGACGGTTTCGTTTTCCCGTTTTTTTTATTTTATTTTATTTTTTTTTAATTTAAAGTTGATGTTTATTGATTTTAAAAACTAACTTAATTTCATTATTGCAAAGTTGAAACGTTGATTCGACAAGGTTATCAAAATTCAATGCTTGGAAACATTCGAAATAATGATTATTATAAATTATAAAACGCTTAAATACAGCACCGGCATAGCACCTGAAGAGCTCCCCGAACGCTGCTGAGATGCGTGAGATCACAGTATGGACATGACTTGCACAAGCAGACGATGTCCCATGACATCTCACACATTTTCAGTGCCTGTGTTTTCATCTTTTCTTGAGTTCTTTCTCTTACTCCACTACCGTCAGGCTAAATGTATAATCTATTGCCTCACTCTTAACCCCGCACATGGTTTTATTTTGATGACAAATGCAGCGATACAAAAATAAAGGAATTTGTCGCTTGTAAACAAATAAGACGCCATTGAATATTCAGCTGGACACACCGCGGTATGTTCGGCGTTTCAAGAGGGAACAAATGCCGTCCTCAACATCGTTCCGGGGGTTTTCAATTCGAAAGTCTGGTTTCTTTGACTGTTAATTAACCCCTATCCTGTGTATTTACAAGCAAAAGATTTTAGTTATCGGAATCGGGTCATATCCCCTTTTGAATGGTTTGACATACCATCACATTTATATACACTAAACTCATTATAATTTGACAAATAAAAGCTTTGCAATTATGTTCATTCTCTATGGGATGTCGTCTGCTTGGGCAGTATTGGTCCATATAGTGACGTCATTAAAACATCTTTATTTTTCCGGCGAATCTCTCGTATATCCCAGCTGCTATGCCGGTGGTTGTATTTGTATTTTTATAAATCACCCGATATGTAGTTGACCTAAAACTTGTACGATGGCCATTTGTTAGCTTACCAGTTTCTAGTCATACATTAGTTGACATATTTGTGATTTTCTTTGAAGTTCAACTTTAAAAAAAAATAATTTTTTTTAATTTTTTTTTTTTTAAATTTTTTTTAAATTTTTTTAAATTTTAAATTTTAAATTTCGATTTATGCCCCTCCACCTGGCACTATGCCTGGCAATGTCTCCCAGCTCAGTAATCTGTGTGTTGACTCACCACTCCAAAACTAGAACAACACTCCAATTTGTCTGTCATCTTGGTTTGAAAGTAATCTTTGTAATAGTTTAGTTTATAATAATAATTCATCCAACTTTTACACATGGCGTACCACAAGGTTCTATCCTAGGTCCTCTACTGTTTTTAATTTACATTAATGATCTTACACATTCTTCTAAAAACAACATCGTTACTATTATTTGTGACAAGTTCACAAGCACAAATCGGCACCTTCAAATGCACCTCGCAGTTAAATGAAAGTCCTTCCCGCTTTTTCACAGAGTCGATCAAAAAACAAAACAAACAAAAAACAACAAAAAAATTTTTTTTGACTGGTTTTGACTGGCGGTTGAACGGAATTGGAGATATCCGTGATGTTACAGCACTAGTATGATATATTTATAACGGAGAATGCAATGAAGCGCTATATCGTTCCTAACAAATTCCCAAATCCATTATCAAAATTGCCCCAACACAGCTCAATCATCTAGAGAAATGAGATAGGCCTCCCATACACACCTTATCAATGTGTAGACTACAGATGAGATGTGATGTAAAAACCTGGATAACTTCCCAGGTTACCACAACAATAGAAAGGATAAAAGTTGGTCTTTGAGGATGGAAACATGAATTTTAATATTTTGTAATTACAGAACCCCTGGTATTGATTCTAATCACTTGGAAATATTAAGACTCAAAGGCGGACAAGAGCCCTAACCCTACAGAAGGCCGGTTTATTTTATAAAGCCAATACAGGGAGGATGGAAATAGAATTTTAAAAGTTTGATGAGTGAATAGAGCATCTTTTGGTGATTAAACAAAGAAAAGTTTCATATCATCACCTCTAATAATCTTGGAATTATTGCCCATCAATCCCTCATGTAAAGGAACTCTGCATTGTGAACAATGCATACATTTTTAATGTAGAAAGTGCATGCGTGGGAATTTCATTAATTTGCTTTCAAATGACGCTTTAAGACTCAAGGCTATAATTACCCAAAAGCTCACAAGTCACAGCAGGAACAGAAAATCGGGTACACCCTGCGTCTTTGGTAAACTTACAGGGGGCGGATTCTTTTGAAAACATGAATGGGTTCGTTCGGCATAAAAAAGGAATATTCAAAGAAAAACACACTGCACATTGAAAAAACAGATACTGAAAGCTTTGCTGGTCTAATAACATGTACAGTATACACGTGCATATCAATATTCAACAGGTCCGGTAGCATGCATCACTGACCTATTTTCCAAGCCTTCGTTCATTATCATAATTTTTGAAAAAGAAATAAAACTAAACAGAACTGATCATCCTTCCCCTTGCATCTGAAGCATTGATCAATTAACAATGTAACATTGTCAAAGGTTATTATGCCTACCAGCATTGTTGTTGCATCTACAGTTTATTCATTTGATTATCAAATGTCTAACCAATCATCACCCCCTCTCATCTATCATTCAGCTGCTTCTCTTCGCTTCACGTCTTTCCAGAATGAGAGACACTCTCCTTAATTGGATAGTCAGCTTACGTTCTTTCATTGTTATTATTCATTCTATAGAGAAATGCAGGCTCCACTTTGCGCATACATCATTTAATAATTACTTGCAGCAGCGGTCAAAACGGATAATTATAATGCCTTTGTCATGAGGATGTGGAAATAATTATATTAAATAGAAAAATAGTTGTGACTATATCTTTCTCTTATTATTTAATCATTATGAAATCATTATGAAATTATCGCTTGATTATGTGTCTTTTCTAATACTTAAGTATTTAATACTTTTTGTGCTACTCTTTCCAGTGTTTGGGCATTTACATTGTAATTATTTTGACATTTACAAAATGATGGATAAGATAATACATGTACTGCACTTGCGTGAAATATTAGGATCAATAGCCTTTTTATGAATTCAAAAAAAGGAAGGCATCACCCTTTAAACTTTTCAGGGAATGTTACTATATATATGTGTCGCCTAGAAGCGTGCATTTACACGCCAAATGCATTATGGTAGAAGGCATAACCACTTTTTAATGCATATCATGCATTTTTTATTCTATTCAGAATCAGTTGGCGATAAAGCCATGAAATGTCCTTGCCAAAACATACAATCTACATTTTGTACAGTAGGTATCTTTTATTGTGTATGCACTTATATTGATAATCGCAATCTCTATAATCAACAAATGGCAAATACACAGAAGTAAATTGCTCATTTTCTCACTTTTTGGTACACCTCATCTTCTAAAGCTCTTTTAGTTGAGACTCATCCCTGCTTTCGCCTTTGACTATAAATTTATTCACAGAATTCATAACCAGGCTAAAATCCTAGGCAAGGTTTGTGGAGGAATGATAAAAATAGTATGGAAAATATTATTTTTTAAACAGTTTTTTTTCCATTTTTATTTATCTATTTTTAATTTTTTTTTATTTATTAATCTTTTATATTTTATTGAAATATTTGTTCTATTTGTTCTTTTATTTATTTTCTATTTTATTCATGATTTTTTCCCCCTTGGGGAGGTAGGGGTAAAAAATAAACTTACATACATGTACATGCACCTGCACAAATTCAATTGCCCTGATAAACATGTGAATGAGTAAATAAAATTTCATAACATTCCTGTCTGAACAGATAATCAGTCAAGAAATAAAGGAGAGAGAGTATTAAAAAGTTAACAAATTAGTATAAATTAGCATAATTGATAAATTACATAATTTTATGCAGCAGTTTTGAAGCACCCTTATATACACTAAATCTAAATCATGCAGAAATTTAGGTGTTATTTTTGATGATAAGTTCACACTTAAAAATTTGTCTCGCAAAAATGTCGCTCAGCATCGTTCGGATTACACAAAATAGGTAAAATTCAAAGTTTTTTAGACAGATCAACCACTGAACGATTAATTCATGCTTTTGTTATGTGCCATTTTGATTTCTGTAATAGTTTGCTTTCTGGTCTCCCTTCTTCTCAAATTCAAAGACTACAACTCCTTCAAAATTCTGCAGCGCGACTAGTTACACGCACAAAGAAACATGAATGAATAACTCCGGTCTTAAGAGCTCTACATTGGCTACCCATCAAGTCCCGAATCCAGTTTAAAATTCTTCTACTAACCTACCAATGTTTACATCAACTAGCTCCTTTATACTTTATATCTTACTGAATTGATAACTCCATATAAACCAGAAAGAACGCTACGTTCCAGTTCCAAGTCCCTGCTTTGTGTTCCACAAACAATGACAAAATCATACGGGGAAAGGTCCTTTTCATATGCAGCTGCTTTTTTATGGAACAAGTTGCCTGAACATCTAAAAAGCACAGGATCCTATAAAACCTTTATCAATTCTCTGAAAACATATCTCTTCACCGCTTCATAAATAATAAGAATCATGAACTCAGTGCATTTTTCTTTTCTTTCCTTAAAGTGCATAGAGACGTGCGATTTTGCCTATGTGTTATGCGCTATATAAAAATGTTTGATTATTATTATTACACTGTATGTGTATCGTTTTTAAATTCTTTTACCAGGGCAACGTCAATCATTCCTTCTTCTAGACAATAATTTGAGGTTAGTGGATTTAAAATACAATCAGTCGAGGAGATTTGAGAGTTTAAGTCTAATATTACAAAATCTAAGTTAGACCTACATTTTACTAATAGGTCAATCTTGATGTTCCAGAAGAAGAAAAATTTGTCAGTTTAGCAGAAATTTATGGATTTAAAATCCCTTGAATATTCAAGCAATTATGATGTGATATAAACTAAAGATCATTATTATTGCCATACAGAACTAATTGCATAAGTTTCTTACCTTGTAAGTGCCTCTGCAATGAAATCAACTGCTGAACCGGATTGTCTCTTCTCAGAAGTTCAACCGTCTAAACAAACAGTGTCCACCAGGTTTCTGTAACAAAAAGAGATTTGATTGTGTTCATACAAACCTACACCAACAAACAAACACCATATATTAAAACTGAAAAATACAGAGGGGTTCTGAAAGATGAAATAAAGAATTTAAATCAAATTCTGAAATAGAACCAAGCCTCAAGCAAGATGAGCAGTGAGCACTATTGCAAAATTTTGCCCCAAAGGAAATAAGAAGATTTTGACATTTTAATTTCCACCTACCGGTACTTGTAAATATCATTTCCCAAACTGCATGCAGCAAAGCCCACAGGTAAATTTGTTGATTATTAGAAAATTGGCAACTTCAAAAGCTCAAATTTCATATAAGTGATTAAAAAATACTACGCAGGCAAATGTTAATCATCTGTAAGTAGGACAGATCTTCGCAAGTTCAAAATTGACTCATATTTCAATGACAGAAAAATTTAGTTTTCTAACTTGCACATGTATAGCTAGTACCACAAACTCTTGTCCATTAATACAGAATACACCTGTTTAGGGTCTTGTTCACACACGACATGGGAAACTGATTACCAGTTACTAAAACAGCTGAAGCATAAATAAAATCACAAACTATGGTAGGATATATTGCTTTGTATTTCTGTATGTTATAACACATAGATAATAAAAAGAGTATGATCAAGGGGCCTCCCGTATATGATGATGCACACGTCTTCATTTTTCTACTCATATTGCCACTCATTTAGAATGCATTGTTTATTGAACTGCTGACCTTGTGATCCAGTCCGGTGACGTATCCACTCGACCACAACACCTCCACATATGAACACAACTTTCTTGCTATGTGAAACACACATAAATGTATATGTAATCTTAATCCTATGTTCTGGATAAACTTTTCTGGCTACATACACACAGATGCAGATGGAGTTTAGCCCATTACGTCACATAATATATGAGAATGCACTCGGGTCAGTTTGTAGATATGTTGGGAAATACCTTTTTATTGTTCCCTGGCAGGCTTCTGATAATACAGTTTTCTCACTGGACACTTTCTTTGTAAGTACATCTGTAAAAGAGAGAGAGAGATAATAGAATAAAAATACATGCATGAGGAATAAGCATAGAACTCTGTCTCTACATTTCCTACAATATTTATGTAGATACACTGTAATTACTAATTCAAATTTTGTTGTGCAATTACAAACTAGAAATATTGCAATCTTTATTGCCGCGCCATGCGAATGTATTCCCCGGCAGTGGCAGCGATTTTGTGTCATCCTTATGTTCGAAGGAGGGACAAAGATTCCCTCTCCCCTCCCTGAAACAAAAGGATGACGAAGAGATCGCCACTAGTGGCTCGGACTATTGTCAAGACTAGGAGCAGCATCACCAAAACAATTTTGCAGATTAGCGTATAATGCATCTCTGTAGAAAATTTGAAAGAAATCTGTAAAGAAATGAGGCAGTTAGAGCACACAAAAGACAACCACCAAAATATGACCCTCGACCCTATAACAGACGGAACACTGGTGGCAGCATCACCAAACACTAAAGATGTGTAGATTGTCTAAGACACACCTCCATACAACATTTGAAAGAAATCAGTCAAGAAATATGGCAGTTAGAGCGCATAAAAGACATATGACCTTTGACCATATAAAAGACGAAACAATGAGGGCAGTATCACTAAAAAAGGAGAGATGTGAAGATTGTACCAAGATACATCTCTATACAAAATTCGAAAGAAATCTGTCATGAAATTTGACCTGCAGAGCGCACACTAGACATGAACTTTTGACCCTATAAAACATGGGACACTGGTGGCAGCATCACCCAAAGTTATAGGTGTGTAGATTTCACCAAAATATACTTCCATACAAAATTTGAAAGAAGTCTGTCAAGGAATGATGCAGTTAGATTGCACACTAAAGCGCACATGAGACATCTATCAAAATATGACCTTTAACCCTATAAAAGATGGAACATTGGAGGCAGCATCCCAAAATCTTAAGGCTCGTAGATTATACCAAGTTACACCTTCGTTCAAAATTTGAACAAAATTCCTTGAGTAATGTGGCCTATAGAGCGCACACAAACCATCCACAAAAATATGACCTTTTACCCTATGAGAGGCGGAACACTGGGGGCAGCATCACCAAAAGTTATAGGTGTGTAGATTATACCGAGATACACCGCCACACAAAATTTAAAAGAAATCTATCAAGGAATGTGGCAGTTAGAGCGCACACAAGAATATGACGCGGTGGACGAGGCGTAACGCTGCTGAATCCAAAGTACCCCACCGGCATACTGCCGGGGGATACAATAAAGACAAGAAATCAAGTAAACGATACAACTTACTGTATGTACGACATTTTCATGACTATTACATGTAGGTACATGTACGACCAGAAAAAATCCCTGACCGGATTCCCAACTTGGTCTCAAACTACAACTCACTCAACTTCAGCAAGAAAATCTGAAAAGCTTTCTTTATACTACCTCCATTATCTAATCTCTGATGGATACAGATTGCAAAGATTTCCTTACACCACCTCAAGCATTTCACAACTAAGAATGTTATAACTGTAACACAACACTTTACCTCAACTCTGAGGAATTACATTTTCTTAGAAATGGAAGCACTAAATGGAGAGAAAAACAAACGCAAACCTTTGTTTGCTTTTGATAAATATAATTATGGATGACTGTTCTATATCTGTATCCTGGTGTCTTACTGAGAATTCCCCTTGTAAAACCCAATGAAGTCAAACATACATGTACACTAACAAACACTGTGAATCTCATCCTGTTTCAACAAGTTATCAGAGAGTTCAGGTATAAACATACACCTTCAAGTTCAATTTGTACCATCCACCCAGAAGTATAACAAAGAGGTGGTAGAAAGGGGGAATTCCCTAAGTCAAAGTCAAAACGCAGTTACATCTGATAATTTGCAAAAAGCCTCAAGCCCTCAAAGTGTAGCTACTACATGTAACTCTTTTGCAACAATCATTCCTTATTTTGTGGTTCGGCTCAATAACTTTTGATTCAGAGGAATCAGAGCCCTACAAAATATGCAATATATGCACGATAGAAAGTAGAAAGGGCAACATTTTTGCACACACTATATGGATGTACAAGTACACTTTTTGTTTGATGACTACCGGTATATTGTGTTTGATGTTTGGAATTCTAAAAAGGAAAAAAGCTTTTAAATCCTTAAATTGGCAACACTTCAAGAGATTCAAAATCGTTGTTTTTCAATCAAAATTTGACATTTCATAAACTTTTCAACAACATTCTTGCCTTCTTTCTTATGAAAAATTAGTGTCTACATTTTGTTTAAATTTATTGAATACGAATCAATGTGAAAAATGGTCATATGATTTGAATGTAAATTTGAGAGACTTAATTCAATGGCAGAATAGATTTGAAATTGTATACTGGGTAACGCTAGACACAAAGATTCGTGTATTTCAATTTAAATTTATCCACCGTCGTTTGGCGACGAATGATTATTTGTATAAAATCGGCATACACAACTCTCCAGTCTGTAATTTCTGTAAAAAAGAACCACAAAGTTTATTGCATTTGTTTTGTACATGTTCTAAAATTCAGCAATTTTGGTCTGATATAAATGCTTGGTTATTAAGAAAAAATGTATACACTCAAAAATTTTCATACCTAGATATTTGTTTTGGTTTTGGCGAAAAAACTCACCATCTTATAAATACAATTGCATTTTATGCAAAATATTTTATTTATAAAACGAAGTATGAAGAAAAAAATCTTTCGTTTTTACGTTTTACAAAAGAACTAGATTTTCTTCAACAAGTAGAATATATAATTGCATTCAGAAAAGGAAAACAGAATACACACAAACAAAAGTGGAGACCTCTAATTTAATTTGATTTGATATTTGATATCTAATTATTCGTTTACATGTTCATTTGTTAACTTTGAATTGTATTGTATTGTATTTGTTATGCAGATCGAATGTTAAAATGAACAACGATTGTAAATATCTTTGATTTGAAGCAATAAAAAAACTATTAAAAAAAAAAAAAAACAACAACATTCTTGCCCATATACATTATGTATTGTTTTCACCAATGTACATATAGAGAAACGTCTGTCTGAGCATCTTTTTTAACGAAAACTCGATAAAGAAGCAGTATCCTGTTCTAGCCTGAACGTGGTATGGTATGAAAATAGCTCTATTATTTTAAGCATCGTGATTGGTCAAAATGCATCACATGTAGACATGACAAGTTTTTTTTGCAGTCTGCACAGGAGTGCAAAAGGTGCGTAACAAAAAGTGATATTGCATGCTTCAGCAAAGAGCGGGAGAAAATAAATTTTGAATTTATAATCAATTTTTGCATCAAACTCCACTGTAAATGCGTTCAAACTCAACTGTAAATTTGTTTTTGTTTACTTTTGGAATTGGATTTTGGCCTGTTTGGGATTTAATGAAGGAATGTCAGCTGAGTGTTTGGGAGTATGGATTTTACTCAAGCTTGCAAAACGTGGAATCCCATGGACTTTAGGGTAAGTAAAGTAAATGCAGTAAGCGCTCTGTATCTTTAGATGATGCGGACTTTGCACTCAAATCACTTAACAATCATACTCCACTATTTAAAGTAGATATTCACTGATTTAACTTTATTTCATTATTGCAAAGTTGAAACTTTGATTCGACATAATTAAGAGAATGCGTACATGCGTGTGGTGGCATGAGACTCCCTCCAAATGCGGGAGGGTTGACAGCCTTGGGTATGTACGCGCGCACAAACCTGCAAACTAAGTTTTAACACGTAGGCCCTACCCGGAATCTTGCGGGTATCTCACTCAGAATGAACCCTCCGGTAAGGCCTAATGGCATTGTTCGTTTCTTATGGGAATGGCTAAAATCGCGACTCCAAGTTCGACTAATTAGATGGCTAGATTTCTAAAAAGAGGATAATTACTGATGTCACCTCAACAATCAATGAATGTCAGCAAATGAGACCAAGAATAGATAAATTAGGATCAAGCATAGACCCTAGTCTAGTCTAGACCCTAGACTAGACTACGGTAGAATCCTAATGATTAAAGGGAAGGGTATTCGGTCAATTCCCAGTATTCGGTCAGACAGCCGTTTCAACAGCTGTAACAATTTAAAAAATAATTTATGAGCCACGAAACTAGCACAAATCAGGCAGCTGAACAACTTTTCTTAACTCTCAAAATTAAATCAGGTATAGTCAAGGGCCCCGGAAAGATCTCCCAACTTAACTCTAAATTGGTCAGTGTCGCACAACTTTCTGCACTTCCGGGTTCTGTTTTGTGCTAACAAGCATAGCCATATGCAGAAGTCTATTGCGAAACAACTACGTGTGCTGTCGCAATGAATTTAGTATGTGTGTGAAGAGGAGCTCTTCCGTGTTCGCTCCATCACAGCAAATTTGCAAATGACGCACTTGCCGATGTATTCATAAGATAGTTAAGATAAGAGGTATTTATACGATACCCCTGCCATGCAGCAGCGCTCGTCCAGTATTCGGTCAACGCATTGACATTCAGTGCTTTGTCGCGCAATTGTGTGAAAATAGTGCGCAAATACGCTTCGCTCCTTGGCAACGGAGATACCACGCACAAATCACGTGACCAAATTCTGGGCAGAAAAATGCTCCGTCTTCTTTCAGAAATATTTTGCTTATCATCATTCTATATTTTAAGAGGAATAATTGGCTTAATTGCAGAATACCCTACCATAATGTTAGTCTTCATATATTAGCCGTAGATATAGATTGTGATTTTATTGTTTGCGATAACGGTGATACAGGTATTATAGAGAGTGTATAATGCAAGTGTTTAAATTCATTTGGTGGATGAAAAGTTGAATTCTACACTGTTTTGTGCGTCATTGCAGCGCTGAATTTGGTGTGTTTGTCGCTAATTTGTGACATATTTAGATGGCTTTCCTGATGGTATTTTATGCTAAATTTCTGTTATATTGATAAGCACTGATTCAACAAGTAATGTCTCGTTCTAAAAATACAAAAGAAAAATAATAGTTTTGTGCTTATAATAGTGGAATGTCTCGTGCTAAAAATACAAAAGAAAAAATAATTCTGTGCTTAGACTAGAATAGTATTGGTGGGTGGTCATTGGTCGTTGGCTTCTTTTTTAATATTTGTCAGTCCTTGGTCGATGGTCGTTGGTCACTTTTTCTAATATTTGTCAGACTGTTGGTCGATGGTTGTTGGACTCTCCCTCTCAACAGTATTTGGTAGATGGTCGTTGGTTTCAATTTCTAATATTTGTCAGACTGTTGGTCGATGGTCGTTGGTAGTTGGCTTCTAGTTCTACTTCTAGTTCTATAATATATTTCTAATATTTGTCAGACTGTTGCAGTGTTGGTTCTAGACCGAAAGCTTCAGTCTCTATAATCGTCGGTTGTTCCACTGAGACTACGTCTGGCTCCACTAGACCTCCGGTTAAAGCTTCAGTCTCTATAATCGTCAGTTGTTCCACTGAGACTACGTCTGGCTCCACTAGACCTCCGGTACCTCCGGTCTTAGACCGAATTTTCCGTCTCTTTCGTTCGTTAGCCTCTTATTGGGGTAGGGTCGGCTCTCTCTTTAGAGACGGAAGCCGTTTATACACATGTCCTTGCTAACGCCACGGCCAGTCCTGGTCGTAGCGTTTTGCCCCCAAAATCCCCCAAAATGTCATTTTACCTCGAGCATGTTATATTGTAAATTAGGCCTAGGCTATAATAAATCAGTTCCACTTACCAACTTGACTGAAATAATCAGTTTAATAGTCCCTTTTTAGGAAATTATGGGTCAAAATCGAAATCCATTTTGAAAATCTTTTTCAACATGGATTCCGATTTTGACCCATAATTTCCTAAAAAGGGACTATTAAACTGATTATTTCAGTCAAGTTGGTAAGTGGAACTGATTTATTATAGCCTAGGCCTAATTTACAATATAACATGCTCGAGGTAAAATGACATTTTGGGGGATTTTGGGGGCAAAACGCTACGACCAGGACTGGCCGTGGCGTTAGCAAGGACATGTGTATAAACGGCTTCCGTCTCTAAAGAGAGAGCCGACCCTACCCCAATAAGAGGCTAACGAACGAAAGAGACGGAAAATTCGGTCTACTCCGGTCTATGTTGGTTCTAATTCTGTATTGTAAAACCTTGGTAGATTATCTAGGGTATTCTGCAATTGTTCCGAATAATTTTCTTTTCTTGATGGGTAGATTGCCAAATAAAACAGGTAAGAATTCAAAATATTATTAGGTTCTATAGGCATAGACTCTAGAATATTAGCGATTTTAAACTTAAGTGACCGAATAGCGGGCGCGCTATAGTCTAGACCTCTCCTCCTCTAACAGTTAGATTTAAATTAAAAGAACATTCTAATCTTGTCAAATTCAAATAAAAATGTAAGGTACGCAGACCTAATGCTCGCTTTATATTTTATTAGATCTAGAGACTAGATCTAGGCTACAAGCTACAACTCAAGTAGACCTCTAGGCCTACAAGTACAACTACAACTGAAACTATATTCTGAGACTCAGTCAGAAAGGTCGGCAGCGGGTCGATCGCGGCCGAAAATGGCCCTAGCCAAGAGCGCCAGCCGACAATAAGCCGGATACTCTTCTCTAGTCATGCGAAAACAAGTAAATTATCATCTGTTATTTATGATATCAATGACTTGTTACTAGTCTAAACTAGGTTAGTCTTTATCTCTTAGATCATACGACAGCCCTAGTCCTCTACGTAATTTCATTTTCCTTCCAAAAAACTTACGTTTCACAACTTTCAGCTCGCCTTCCTAAGAAACCTTCAACATTAACTTAACGGCTAGTGTAGACCGAATTTTTCTGTCTCTTTCGTTCGTTAGCCTCTGATTTGGGTAGGTCGGCTCTCTCTTTAGAGACAGAACAGCCCCATACGCTGTAGTGGCCGCGCGTTTGTACTAAGAAACGTTACACAAAACTTGGCCAAACTTAATCCCTAATTTTTATATTTTACCGGATGCGTATCCGATGCATTTAAAGTCCTAAATTAGCTAAATACTTAACTACTTCGGTTCCACTTACCAACTTGACTGGAATAATCCGTTTAATGGTCCATTTTTAGGAAATTATGGGTCAAGATCGACATCCATGAAGAAAATCTTGCAGCCGAGTCTCATTCTTTCTAGTCTACGCCGAAGGCAAAATGATTATAACGGAAAAACTGTGTACGAGCTACGAGTTCGTAATGACATGCACAGTTTTTCCGTTATAATCATTTTGCCTTCGGCGTAGACTAGAAAGAATGAGACTCGGCTGCAAGATTTTCTTCATGGATGTCGATCTTGACCCATAATTTCCTAAAAATGGACCATTAAACGGATTATTCCAGTCAAGTTGGTAAGTGGAACCGAAGTAGTTAAGTATTTAGCTAATTTAGGACTTTAAATGCATCGGATACGCATCCGGTAAAATATAAAAATTAGGGATTAAGTTTGGCCAAGTTTTGTGTAACGTTTCTTAGTACAAACGCGCGGCCACTACAGCGTATGGGGCTGTTCTGTCTCTAAAGAGAGAGCCGACCTACCCAAATCAGAGGCTAACGAACGAAAGAGACAGAAAAATTCGGTCTACGGCTAGTGCAGTCGAGTCGATAGCTGGCGTTTCCGAGAACAGCGCAGCGCCTTTTCTGAGAAACCACACAAAATAATGGCTTCGCATATTATGCAAATTAGTACAGATTCTCGGTACCGGCCGAAAGTGCGCGCGAAGTAGCACCGCATGCAATTTTCCCAGGACAATAAAATCACGTTCAAAATAATGGATCAGAAAGGGTGGATGGTGGATACGGGGTGTTTGTCTTCTTCTTCATTCTTCATCTTTTTGTTGGTGTCGTTATTTTGTCACCAAGATACAGGCGCGGATCCAGGGGAGGGGGTGATTAGGCCTTGCCCCCCCCCGCAAGAATAGAAAAAGAGAGAGAGAGGGGGGGGGGGGGGAGGGTAAGGTAAAGAGGTAACGAAAAGGAAGAACTTGGAGGGGGAAAAAAAAGAAAAGGGGTGGGGGCAGGCGCGGATCCAGGATTTCTTAGGGGAGGGGGCCCAACTTTTTTTTTTTTTTGCTCCCGAAATTGAAAAGGAAAGGGAAAGAAAAAAGTAAAAGAGGAGATAAAGTGGAGGAAAAAAAGAGGAAGAAGAAAAGAAAAGAAGGGAGATATTTAGTTGCAATTTTCCCGCCAACAAGTTGTGGATCGGGTGGGGGGCAAAAGGCCCTTGCCTCTCACTTACTCCCAACTCCCGTCCCCGCAAAAAAAAGGAGAGAAGGAAGGGAACGGTAAAGAGGAGAGCTAAAAGGGGGAAAAAAGAGGAATAAAAGAGAGGAATAAAAAAGAGAAAGAAGAAAGGTAGGGGAATTGGCAGATCCAGGGCCCCCCCCCCCTTTGAGAAAAAAAATCATGCAGAAACACGTGATTTTTACCTTTCTCGGGGGTTGGGCCCCCCACCCCCCGGGGGGGGGGGGGGCTGGGAGATCCAGGGGGGTGCAAATTTTAACACCGCTATTCATAACGTGAACTTCCTATACCTGCAGGTCCGCTATTCATAATGGGAGAAGAGAGTCACTATTCAAAAAGAAATGAGGTTCATTAATCATAAGGACCGCTATTCCTAACGTGGGAGGAGGGTTGCCATTCATAATTCATATTGAGGGTCATTAATCACAAGGACCGCTGTTCATGATACGAATGCGGGGTCGTAATTCATAAAACGAGGAGAGGGTCGCTATTCATAATTTATATTGGAGGTCACTTGTCATAATAGGAGTAGAGGGTTACCTGTGCTATTCATAATAAAAAATGAGGGTCGCTATTCATACTACGAGGAGAGGGTCCAATACGAAATGAGGGTCGCTATTCATAATATGAGGAGAGGGTCGCTATTCATAATAGGAGTAGAGGGTCGCTATTCATAATACAAAATGAGGGTCGCAAGTCATGATACCAGGAGAGGGTCGCTATTCACAATACGAAATGAGGGTCGCTATTCATAATACGAGCAGAGGGTAGTAATTTATTCATAATATGAGGAGAGGGTCGCTATTCATAGTAGGAGTAGAGGGTCGCTATTCATAATTCGAAATGAGAGTTGCTATTCATAGTACGAGCAGAGGGTTGCTATTCATAATACGAGCAAAGGGTCGCTATTCATAATATGAGCAGAGGGTCGCTATTCATAATACGAAATAAGGGTCGCTATTTATATCATGAAATGAAGGTCGCTATTCATAAAATGAGGAGAAGGTCTCTCTTCATATTAAAAGTATGGGTCGCTATTCATAATCCGAAATGAGGGTCGCTATTCATAATACGAAACAAACTATTTATAAAAATTAAATAGGCCTATTAGCAATAGACAAAATGCCATTAACAAAGGGAAATATTGGACGGAGGACACCCCCACGGCTATGGCGTAGATTTGGGAGGGGGCGGGGACACATGGCCCTGAATATTTTTTTTTTAAAGTAGGTTTGTTTTAGTTTTATCTTTGATAATGTTGCGGAGACATCCCCCGCTCCTGTGGTGACGAAAAAAAAGAAGTAAAACATAACACACATAATCCCATCGTAATTTGTCCTCCTTGTTGGAAATCTTTCCCGATCACCCTGCCCACGATTGATCTTATCCTGGATACGCCAATGAGACACTAAGTAGACCAAGCAAGCCCATTATCATAGTTCTTTAAGGAATGAGTTTGCTATTTCAAAAACTTGTAATTGTTTATACGACGATAATGTTTTTGTAGAAAATAGCTTTTAGTCGGACTTATGGACCTACAAATTATATAGCGGGGTTGGACCAGACCATGAGCCTAGTTACTGCCCAGAGAGGGGTGAGGGGAGGGGGTGGGGCACTTTAGAATATGTTTGGTTTGGGGGATAGCTAGGGCTTGAACACTTTCGGACCTTGAAGGTGCGGATCCAGGGGGCCGAGATATGCTTTTGCGCCACTCTCGCCCCCCCCCCCTCACCCACCAACGAGACCAAGCGCCAGATACGCCACTGGTCACCACTGGCGTACTGATGGAGAGGGGGGCTGGGGGCAGTTGTCCCGAAATAAAATTCAAACTTGGTTTATTTCTAATTCGATACCAGTGATTTACAAATGTTGCTGAAATTACATAATTTTCGGGAATTTCCTCACTTTTTAGTAAAATATACTTTTGTAAGCGTTTGTTGGAAAATTACAAATTCCCAAATTTACAATCAGGCAAGAATTATGCTTGTTTAGAGGCCTACAAGTCGTGTCAGGGCCGCGAAACGGCTGGGCTCGAGCTCCCCCCCCCCAGAAAAAGTATATTAAAGAGAAATAGAAAGAAAAAGAGAAAAAAGAAAAAATAGTAACCTGCCAGTTTTACAAAATAATGAAGTATCAAAATATGCTCATCTGACCGTAAATAAATGCCGCTGAGCTTCTAAGCCGGGCTCTGTCCCCTGGATTCCACTTAGGGCCCTAAGGGGCTCGAGCCCCCCCCCCCCCCCACCCAAGAAAAAGTTTGTTGAAGAGAAATATAATGAACGAGAGAAAAATAGAGAGAAAGAAAAAAAAAAGAATAGTGACCTGCCAGTGTCACATAATAATGAGGTATCAAAATATGCTCATCTCACCGTGAATAAATGCCTAAAACACCTGAGCTTCCGGAGCTCTGTCCCATGAATTCCACCTAGGGCCCCAAGACGGGCCCCTGGTTGCTCATCTGACCGTAATTCAATGCCTAAAACCCATGAGCTTCCGGGGGCTCCATCCCTTGGCCCCCGCCGGGGCTTTTCCCCTATACCCCAGGCGAATTTACGCTACGCTCTACCTGATTGTAAATACTTTAGCCTCCCCATGCACCCACTTTGAAAAACGTTCAGCGGGGCCTGCATGTAAGAGTGGTGGTGATGCGGACCCCCACCCCCCTTCAAACACGTTTTGCTCATTACGACGCTTCTGCTTAACCGTTACGTACCAATATTTGGCTCACATGATTTCAAATTTGGGCCCCCCTAAGAAATCCTTGATCCGCGCCTGCAAAGATACACTTACTATAATTATGAGCCCTAGGGTCAATATAGAAATTACAAATTAACTGCCCGAATGTATAACAGTGCATGCCCAAATCCGGCCAGAATAATATTGTCAAAATATCAACATAATAACCCTGAATCTTGTATTTATTTATTATAGTTATTTTAACTTTAACTTTTTTTTAGGCCTCCTAACGTTGCCTGTTAACTTTATTTGTTAGCTGGTATTAATTCCTATTTGATCATACGAAGCTGAAATTCACGACCAGTGCATGCATGGTCCCAGACTCAATTTTGCTTCACATGCATTCCTCGCTTAAGCCAATGATTTATTCATTCATTTTAGGTGTGTTAACTTAACTTTTTAGCAATTATTATAGGCATATCGTGTCCCATAGGAATCATTGTAATATGACGTCTCTCTAGTTACCATTATAATCTTGTGTCCCACCCCTATACCCCCAAAACATTCATGCCGCATTAATGTCAAAAGTTATAATTTGCTTTTTTTGTTTTGTTTTGTTTTGTTATCGGCCTTGCTTTCCATTTTGTGTTACTTTGCTTTGTATTTTTGTTTTGTTTTGTTTTGTTTTTGTTTGGTTTCGTATAGTTTTGTTTTGTTCTGTTTTGTTCTGTTCTGTTATGTTTCGTGTTTTGTTCTGTTTTGAAAGCATATCACCTAAGTCTGGTGTGTAAAGTCAATACGGACCGATTTTTTTGTGTATTACGAGCCGGACTTTGTTGCGTGAAAAGTATCCCTTTACCAGACGGGGTTCTGTTCAGTTCTGTTTTTTTTTGTTTTGTTACTACTGATAATTGTCTTTTGTTTTGCCCTGCATGTCACTAGATAAAGTTGGGGCACAAATTCTTCCCACCCCCTGGAAAAAAAAATATTCAGTTTCATATGTACTCAGTAAATAGTAGGCCTATACCTTCCATATAGGAATTTGAGAATAAAAATCGTCATCACGGCCAAGAATAACAAATTTTTGTAAAGTATTATACAAAGCGCTTGTATCCGGCAAGAAATACATAACAGATTGGATTCCATATACTTGCCTTTAAGGAGGCTCATGTATTGCCGTGATAAAGGGAGAGAGGGAGAAAGAGTTTATACATTGCTACAAATGGCCCAAAAGGCAGATTTTCGGGGTAGGAAGGGCACTGTTGATTAAGCCTGCCAGACCTATTAAATTAAATTCAGACCATTCTAGCCTATCTATGCCTTGGTGATGCTACTGTCCCGCTCTGCTCTGGCCGTCAACACCGATCAAAAGTAGAGGTGAGAGGGTTTACTAGCTGGCAAAGATTCGTTTATTCCAATTAGAAAGGGAAAAAAGGGGGAAACAAACAGACCCTACTAACCTTATTTAACAAGTAACAGTCAAAAGAAAAAATATATGTAAAAAAATGTATTTTCTTGTTAGTTTCTCAGGACTGTAATTGATGTCAAATATTCATTCCCTACTTTCCATTAAAATTATATGTTTCTTTTCCCAATGATTTTGAATCAATTCTAAGAGCAAAATGTATTACCTGCAATTACTATTAATATTATATCAGCTTCTTTCTCTCCACCAGACCCAACTTCACTGCTAACTCACTTTTACCTTTCTCTATCTCTCTTCCCTTACTTTCCCTTCTTCCCCTGTATCTGTCTCTCCCCTCTCTCTGTCTCTCCCCTCTCTCTGCCTCTTTCATTCTTGCTTTTATCTCTCTCCCTTTCTTTTATTCCCTTTCCTTTTCACTATTTAATTCTTTCACTTCCTTCCTATTTCTCACTCTCTCTCTCTCTCTCTCTCTCTCTCTCTCTCTCTCTCTCTCTTTCTCAGTCTCTCTCTCTCTCTCTTTCTCAGTCTCTCTCTCTCTCTCTCTCTCTCACTTCCTTTCTTACAAATATCACCTGTTCTCCATCTCTACTTTTCTTTTTATTCTCCACTATTTTAGGAAATGAAGAAAAACAAACTGTTACACAACACAAAATAAGAGAATTCTCCAGGAAATTAGTTTTCTGCAAATGAATAAAGGACCTCATTTTTTTATTAGTCCCTATAATGTACTATGTCGTTACACAGTAATGATTACATATACACACATTATCATAGCATAACGAGATAAGACATTTTTTTTCTTCTTAAATATAACACCTCAACAATGATACCTGTTCATCTATATGTATGATTAAAGTTTCATAAAAGCAGCTTTGATTTATTCCTTCTCATGAAAAACAAGATCATCCTTAATATGGACCTTGTTTTTCAGTATACTCAACTTCTCACTACAACACTAGAAGCTTTCATTCATAACCTAAAAGCAATAGGAAAGTACCACTATTTTGACAGCTATAAGTTCCTTCTGCAAATAAGAAAATATCAAAAGTTTGATCATTCGAGCCTTACAGGTATTCTTGAGTTCTGGCAATGCAAATTAAAAAAATCCTTCCTTCGGCATCTGTCTGTCTCGAAAGACAATAGAATATTGTGCTATATAGTTGTCAGTTTCTTGGTGTGCAGCTCCTGCTGTGACTGAACAGTCCAATCCTAGAGAGACAGGTCCTGTTGCAGTTGCTGCAGATAAAAGTCATTTGTGGCTGTGCTGTTGGAGCCGTAGCTAGCTGTTGTCTTTGTTGTTGTTGTTGTTGTTGTCTTTTCTCCTCCCACTGTTCTACTCTCCTCTGCTCACTCCTCTGTACACCCGTCTTTATAACGCGTCTCCATTCAGGACGGTCTGAGGCATATGCTTCCCAGTTTGTAGGGTTAATTTCACTGGCCTTCATATCCCTCTTGCACACATCCTTGAACCGAAGGACAGGTCTTCCAACAGCCCTGGTCCCGGTCGCTAACTTTCCATACATTATGTCTTTTGGAATGCGGCCGTCTTCCATTCGGCTGACATGACCAAGCCATCTCAGTCGTCGTAAAATCAATTTTTAAAGAAACCCTGAATGTTAAACACTATCAAAAGACAAATGATGTCTGCAAGTCAAACTTGATAAAAATGTATAATCGGTATTAAAGTAAAAGTAAATAAAATGAGATCATCTTGGTATGCCAGGACTAATATACAACTTGTGATATACATATATACCATCTGTTGTGTTGTTTTTAGAACAAGTCTAATTAGTTCCTTGCAGTTTTCTGAAATGATTAATGGTTTACCTCCAAATCCTGTCCCTTGTGAGAACTCAAGATTACCTGTGAACCATGTACAAGAGCATCCTCTACAAGCCTATCATATTGTAAAAAGATAAAGTGATAAGTCAACTGAAGATTATACCCAGTATGTTCAAATTGAAAAAAAATGTACACCGTAAAGATAATTATAATCATGATCATCATTCAAAGGGTTTCTATCCGATGCCCTTTGTAATATGATTTGCATTCTATAACTGTACACTAGCGCCTATGCTACACGATACATAACATAAAATATTGCATAAGAAAGCATTAGTTCTGATATCCCACCACCAACACCTCAATATCTATTTGATCATGATGTAAAATGAAAGAAATCAATGATTGATGAAATATATAAAGCGACCAATCCCGTGCAAAACCAACTCTCAGGTTTATATTTTTCTCTACCTTTCCGTACTAAACTGACATGAAAGAACATCCTGAAAGTTTACCTGCATACATAACATCTAGGAAACTAAAACTATGGATCTACCTCGACAAGAATTTGTCCAAAAGCATGTATAAAAATAATTTACAGTAGATTGCACCAGCCTTACCAAAAAAGCATCCAAACAAATTTTAAAAACTAATTAATTCAAAGTTTAAGGATATAAGACATTCATTTAAAAAAAATTGCAACTTACAATTAAAAAAAAATCACCAATACATAGGTAGTAATGATGATTGGTCTTTTTTTTTAAAACAGAGACAGAGACAATCACTATGGTCTTGAACTCAGTCTATGATTAGTCGCCATAAAAAATGTACTTGATTCACATTTTAATTAAATTACAAAAATACAAGACTATAAAAATGACAGTAGGAAAAATATCTTAAAGGAGACTGTAATACCTAATTGCAGACTGGAACATTGTATCACCTGCCACTGTATGCATAAAAATTATGGCATCAACAAACTTGCATATGCTTTCTAAAACACAATGACAAAAATAGCTCGTTAAGTTGGGTAATACCTAGACTAGTGGTAGAATAAAACGTATTTCAAGAACTTCTCTTTCATAAGAAAATGACAAACTCTTAACATTTGCATGTGACTTGTATATGCAGTAAAACAATGTTACATGAACTGAACTGTTGCAAAATACAAATGGACAACTTGTTGCATATATTTGGCCCTTTAAAGTATCCATAAAACCTGACAAGCAGATAAACTACATGTCAATGCAATCAAACTGACAAGACAGAAAGTTCCTACCGGTATAACATTTCAAGGAAAAAGTCTTTACTTAAGAAATATTCTCTAAAATCTGATGGGGTTTGAACAGTAACAACAAAACAAGAAAGGACTAAAAAATCTGGATTAGGTAAGTCAAGAAAATGATCTAAATATATAGATCCAAGATAAGATCTTGTCATCCACTGTCTCGTTTAATTTATAATATCTCAAAACAATATTTCAAAAAGTAGATCTAGGTTCAATTATACGCACTATAAAAAATACCCATTCTGTACCCATTCTGACCCAATTTGTATTTTTCATTGAAAGCCAGCTTCAAATTATTTTTAATGATTCCAAAGGTGCAATTTGGGACAACAGTTATTCTAAAAAACATCTTCAAAAACATGCGATGTAAATATCCACATTATTCCAATGACTATAACACACAAAGATAAGATGAACGGCATGACAAGGTTTCCTCAAATCATTTCTAGGACCAAGCCTAAAAAAACCTTTTCAGATGGCATACCAAGATGAGTTCCCAATTCAATATCAAATCAAAATATTGACAGGAGGCAACGATGCAAAATTAATCCAGAGTGTTTAAAGACAACCTAGGAAATCAACCATGGGGTAAAATATTTCCCCCGAAAACATTTGAAATGGATTATACCATATTTTAAATATTCAAGTATGACCTCAAGAAAATGTGATAATATCCCACTGTACAGTGTACACAATATAAAATTGTACTCTTCGATACATAGGTACAGGTAAGGGCAACACATGGCACAAAACCAAACTTGCAAAAATACAATTCCATCTACAAAAAAAAAATCAAAATCCAATTCCAAACCCTAATATACAATTTAAAAACACTTTCAATGCTAAAAAGTCTTCTTGAGACACTCCCATCCAATGTTTTCTTCCCATTTTCTCTTCACGCTTGCTTTCGTTAAAGAAAGAACATGTCATCTGCAATTTTGAAGCCTTTTTCATAAAATGTTTAAAAAGGGAGCAAATATGTCTAAAAATACATACACAAACATACAGTTCTTTATCATCAACAACAAGACTGTTCTTGCACTGGCAGTGATAAGACACACTAAATTATTTCACATAGTACTTTTCCAGACAAAAACAAGTCTTTTATACATAGAGATTATGCAATAATTCTACAATAATGAGTTCAACACAAACACATTGCTCAAGCTTAACTGTATCTCAGACTTTATAAGAATTTTGAAGTTAAATATCATGGTACTTTAGTTGGAGAATTGAAAAGATTATTGTTAAATAGCAGCATAAAGGAGAACAGTTTACATGGTATCAATAGTTAAAGAAAAAAAAAATCATGAGATATACATACAACTGACTAAAGCACCTGAACTCCTTTAAGTACATGTTTAAAGCTTCACATATGATTATTCATTTCATAAATAGATCAAAAATAGATTTGATAAATACTTTTGGATATTTTCAACAATTAAGAAGTCCTAGTACATGGATCATTCACATATCAAATATATAGTGAATTACGAGACAATTATTCTGTCATACAAACATATGTATGTTTCCTTTCTTTTTATTTTCCACCTTATAGATATTTATCAATACTTTAAATAACCTGAAGTATATATATAATTTTCAAAGATTTCAAATATAGCAAGATCAATATCAAAAGAAAACAGTTACAGGTATGTAGTTGTATGTTGCTTTACTACAACTATTATTGTGTATATCTTAAAGTCTTGTGTAATCTTTTTAAGCATGAAATATATGTAAAAGCGATTGTTTAAAGGCATTCTTGTACAACATTAAAATATGTGAAAACTTTCTCTTTCTAGGTGGCACAAGACTATAGTGCCGTAAAAGAATTTTGTTGACCGTAACAACGTTGGACTACACGCATTCTCATTGATAAGCTGAACTTCTGGACTGGAAATCATCATGACACAATTCTGAAACAAACTTTTATTGATATTAAGACTATAAAAAGTTTGATTTGAAGCTCAAATTTTGATAGTTTGTGAACATTTTACAGATTCGAGCTACTGGATAATAAACAAATTTGAAATACATTTTTTTCTTGAGATTCAGTACCATCATCACATCCCAGAATGAGCTTTACTATGATATAAATACATGTTTAAGTACTTGATAAATGTTTCTTAATACCTTATGGCTACACGAAGGTTGAAAGAATCAATGTCTACATATAATATATTACGTCAAGGACACATACAAACATTGTCTTTCAACGAGTACTGAACAAGATTCTCAAAACAGAGGAGATAAAAGCTGAGTTTACTCAACTACCGATATTTTTTTTTCTTCTCATTTCTCACTCAATTAATAAGTAAATTATTCAAGAATGGTTAGCTGAGCAAAAAATGGTTCAATGTACACGCATTTCTAAAATAATGCTTTAAAACAGGATAAAGAACATTCGCACCTAGTAATACAACTGGACTTAACTTGCCAATTTTCCTGTCAAATACCTAATCATTTTGCAATATCCAGTCAATACTTACCCAATTCTCCTAATTAAAGACACGTTGAATATTCAGTTTTGTGGTAAACTGAAATTGAATTATATCTACACTTTGGTTTGAGACAAGTAAGCTATGCCGATGCACCAAACTTGAGACCATTTCTCACACTATTGGCACAAAACATACACTTTTCTAAGTAATAAACATTTTAAGTTTCTCATGAAAACACTATAATTTGATCATGATCTCAAAATCATCACATAAAAATCTGTTGTTAAGTACAAGTAAAAGTATTGTGAGTCTATTCTCTAGGTTTGTATATCCATTCTGTCGCTCGTGAGGAGGAATCCATCGTTCCCCTTGAAAGAATGCACACTTGGCCATAATGAAAAATAGTTATATTCAAGGAAGCAATGGCCTTTTGAAAGTCTGTCACTATCGTCCGATCATCAAACGGTGGACTCCCCGCGATCTGTCACCACATCAGAGTTCACATAATCGCTCTCACTGCCCCTCGTTGAATGCCGACCAAGGCTTCCAGAACTATTAGAGGGAGGGGGTGAGCGGTACATGCCTTTGGGGCCCCCGTTTTGTCCGTTCATGACGGGAGCGCCGCCAGGCGGCACGGGTCCCTCGAAGGACACGTCACCCAGAAGGGGCGTGCTGGAGCTCATGGTGGGTGCCAGAGGGGCGTAAGCGGGCGGGGTTCTGGGCTGGGAGGGCGTGCTATGCTGCCGTGCCACCAGGTGAGGATGCTGTTGTTGCATGGGAGTCCAGGGGTCACCGGTGTGGATGGTAGGGGTCCTGGGTGACTTGGGTCCCTGTGAGGCTTGATCCATGATAGCATGGTACTCCAGATTATCAAGCATACCAGCTGAGGGCGAGGTCGGCTGAGACCCGGTTCCATCATTGAGAGGGAGGTAGTTGTCACCCAGGTCTGTTGGTCTTCTGGGGTCATTCTGGTAATCATGCTCTTCTGAAAAATACAACAGAGAAATATGTCAATACAAATCTCATCATACATCTTTTGAGCATCATTTTGGCTGTCAACACATGATGCATTAATTTCTGTTATAGGTTTATGCATGTAAATCAGCAACTAATGAGGGTTGGATAGAATAGGAGCCAAATTTTTGTTAAAATATCAAAGTTTTCTGGTTAAACTAATGCCCACAAGAGTGCTACTTCATGCAGTTGAAGTTACATCTGTTATTTGACTAACTTTTAATTTGTTCATGATTTGTAGAGTTGTGTGTCAGGTTCTTGCTGGCCTGGTTATTTGATGTCTTTCATTTTTGAAAGTGAGGGCCAGCCCTATAATGTAACAATCCCCCTCATTTCATGAACTTGAAAATGGAAAAAGAAGACACCATAGGTTGAATTCCCCTCATATGTGAAATCATACAATTGCAAACTTTCAGGACCTTTCATATCACAGAAAATTTTGAGACTGAGACATTCCTTTATTCAATCAGTGACCACTTTGATAAAAAAATATTTTCACATATTCCAAAAATTCAATATTGTGAGTCAGGTTCATAAAGTCATCTGATATAACATTACAATATTATTACCTTCCATTAATGGTGAGAAGCCTTCTAGCTTGTCATTTGGTATCAAGTAGTCATCATTCAAGTTTGGATCTGAAAATAAAACAGAGTAAAATGGTGTAAAATCAAGATATTAAATACAGCAGCAAGTGATAGTGTCATCCTCTGCTGCATATCCATTTGAAAATAAATTTGGAGTTATTTTCCTAATATGCGACTGATACCAGTCATAGATTTGAACAGGAATCACTTTGCCATTGGGCAAGATACATCTTTGCCTCAATGTAATTTTGACTCAATATCTACTCTTTTAAGAGGTGGTCTGGATTGACACATGATTTGATTTTGATTTGATTTTTTTTCCCCACTCAAATATCCACAAATTATTACAATGTATAATAAAACAAATGAATTATACAAGTAACGAAATACTCATAAGTATGTACGTAATAAAATAAGTTTACAGAGTACATTTAAGTTTGAGAATAAGACAAAATATGTTATATTGCTTGATTTAAGTGAGAGGTGTGCACGTGTGCAGTGGGCTCCTGTTTAAGTTTTAAAACGTGGGGGGGGGGGAAATAAAGTTTGATCTGTTAAGGTCAAACCCAGCACCAGCACACCTCTTCAGCACAAATCATGATATATCACACACATTGTGTCACTAAACATTGATATTAAATCACAGCGGAATAAGGAAAGACCAAATCTCACCATTGCCGCTCGTATTACTGTTTTGCCTATCAAAGTTGCCCTTGAAAGTTGGGTCTTGACAGTAGCGAAGGAGACTGCTATCCTTTCTCAATGGACCAGAAGGCTTTCCTGTAGGAGACCTGGGTCCAGCACCATTCTGTTGTAAAAGAGAGAATGGTTAGCAAGGGTCAAAGGTCATGTACCATAGCTGTTAGAATTTTTAAGGAACCAAAGTCTGTGAAGTGTTCATAGGAATTTATGATCACTGTCATCATAAGTGTCAGTATCATCATCATCATAATCATTATCATCATCATCATCATCATCATCATCATCATCATCATCATCATCATCACCATCATCATCATCATCATCATCATCATCATCATCATCCTCATCCTCATCCTCATCCTCATCCTCATCCTCATCCTCATCCTCCTCATCATCATCATCATTATCATCACCATCATCATCATCATTATCATCACCATCACCATCATCATCATCATCCTCATCCTCATCCTCATCCTCATCATCATTATCCTCACCATCCTCATCATCATTATCATCACCATCATCATCATCATTATCATCACCATCATCATCATCCTCATCCTCATCCTCATCCTCATCCTCATTATCATCACCATCCTCATCATCATTATCATCACCATCATCATCATCATTACCACCACCAAGATTTTTGTTGTTTTCATAATCATTACTTATTTCAACCAAAATGGACCAATGAACAGATACAGGATAATGTATACAGAGCACCGAGTTTCTTCTTCTTCTTCTTCCATTTGAGTACATTCCTCTTTACAGAGTATTGTCGTACTCTACTGGGGTGTGCAGGTGGACCACTACACCGGGGTTTCCCCTACTCTTATACGAATAGTGCAGTGGGTTCTTAACGTGCAAAGGTAGTGACTCTTCTCTACACCGGGCCTCTATTTAACGTCCTATCCAATAATGACTTACCACTGGGAAGAAACCTTGCTGGCTCTCATAGGTCATGTTGTTTGCAGTAAGGCTCATTGGTTGTAAGTAGTCCTCAGCATCCATGAGTAGGTCTGGGTCTGCTCCTGACTCAGTGTCCTGCATGAGGGTCTTGTAGAAGTCTGAGGGAGTGGGGCTCGGCAGGGACATTGCACCATCATTCTGTGAGTGAATAAGGGAGTGATTCAATTCAATTTGTATTTATTTCATTTCTAACAGAAAGATAAACAAAGGTATTACAGAAATTATTACAGAAAGTACGAACAAAATGTATGTACATCTTCAGTCTTTATCTTGATTAGCATACAAATAAATTTAACACATACAAAACAAATTACAAGCAATTTTTAATTTCTGAGGAAATGGGGGATCCACTAAAAAGCAGTGCTTCTAGTTTGTGGATCCCCCAGATTGTAAGAGAGAGAAGGATAAAAGGAGAGGAAGGGGAAAGGAGAGAAGAGAGAGGGGGAGAGAAGAGAGAGCAGGGAGAAAAGACGGAAAGGAAAGAGAGATATATAGGAAAAAAGAAAAAGATAGACAAAGAGAGACAGAGAGACAGAGAAAGAGAGACAAGAGATAGAGACACAGAGAAACATAGAATGAGAGAAAGAGAGAGAGAGAGAGAGAGGACAGAGACAGAGGAAGAAAATGGAAGAAAGGTACAGAGGAGAGAGATACATGGTATTGTATCAGATGTATGACAAGTAGATCAATAAATTCAAATTCAAATCAAAAGGGCATTTCAAACCAGCTACAAACAAGTTTAAATCATGTCAAAGAGCTGCTACAAGGAAGCCTTACCTGGATAACAAGGTATCTCTGAGGGTCTTTGGTCATTCTCTCAAGCTCTTCTTGCATCTGCTTGAAGGTTGGTCTGCTATCTTCATCAATCAACCAACCTGGGGAGGATAAGATAAATAAGATGGAAGAGGAGGAGAAGGTGGAGGAGGTGGCGGAGGAGGTGGTGGAGGAGGTGGCGGAGGTGGCGGAGGAGGAGGAGGAGGAGGAGGAGGAGGAGGAGGAGGAGGAGGAGGAGGAGGAGGAGGAGGAGAAGGAGAAGAGGAGAAGAGGGGGAAGTGAGGAGGAAATGTGAGAAATGAGTGGGATGGGAGAAGGAAAAGGAAGATAAAAAAAGATGAGAGGAATGAGTAGGTGGACAAAAGGTAAGAGGAGGGTTAGGGTAAAGAGGAGAATGAGGATGAGTGGAGGTTGAGAGAGAAGACGAGGATATAAAAAAAGAGAAAAAATGAAAACAGTTATCAGCAATCATGACAGAAAGAAAATTACCTGATAAAACTGATTTTATGCAAGTTCTATCTCATACATGTACCGCATGTGACCACACAAGTATCTGGTAGCAAACTGTACACAAACTTTGAAGAATAGAAAACATACCAATAAAATGTATGTAGAATAAATATACATTTAAACACAAGGCCACACTAAAAAAATTATCCTCAAGTTGTGAAAGACTGGTCAACATAATCAAGACGTTATTCTTTATAATTCTTTTCTTATACAACGTTTTTTGTCATTCTATTACATTAAAACACAAATATAAAAACATTAACTCTTAACATGTCTGTCATGAAAACTTACATTTGACCATCAGCATGTAGATGTCAATTGTACAGATCGGAGGCTGGGGTAACCTCTCACCCCTCTCTAAGAGCTCCGGTACCTCTCGGGCCTTCACCCCCTCGTAGGGCTTCCCTCCAAAGGTCATCAGCTCCCAGAGGGTCACACCTATGAGATAAAGATGTTCAACTTAATTAAATTGGTGGTGTTCGTATGTTGATAAAACTGATGATAGGGTGATTTAGAGTCTGGATTTAGAACTTGGAACATCTATTGAGCTGTGATGTGCTGCATGACGCATGCACTGGGAGGGACCTGGCAGAGGCCAACAACACGACTCTTAAAGGGATCGTTTAACAATGTTAAATCTGAGATACACAGCCCTACGTGTTATCAGTGTCTGTGATATGATGTAATATTGAAGCCCTACAAAAATTGCGCTTCAAAATGATCAAGAAGTGCCTCAAAAAAGTAAAAATCTTTGAGTGACCGGTTTTACCATACTCGTTTTCCCCAATAGACTGTAGTGTTATGAAAACCGTCAGGCGAACGGTTTTCAAAATTTGTAATTCCAATCATAAATATCTTGATAATCAGACAGGCGATCGGCTTGTAAAAGTCACGGGTTCCTGACTGTCCTAAAGGTTTATAAATATCATTGCATCATGAGCTAAATCCAGAATATGTTTTCAGAATCTGAGACAAAGTTACCGGATCCCTTTAATTACTTTTGCAAGACATTACAAAACTGTTGTGTGATGACTTGAAATGATGCAACCAAACAAACTATGCGATTCTGATATTGGATGAAATTTTGTTTATACTAATAAATCTGAATAAAAAGCCACTAATATAGAAGTTAGGTTACTACCACATACCAAATTTTGGTGGAAAAACAGATAAGAAAAAACACAAAACACTTCTAGACATGGATAAACAAATATATATATATATATATATATATATATATATCTGTCCTTGACTCAAAACCTAGAGACATATGCGATTGAACAAAAGGGAAAGCAATAAACATACTAATGAGATATATCACTCTAAAACACTCACCAAAACTCCAAACATCACTTTTATGTGAAAATCTCCTGAATTGAATGCACTCTAAGGCCAACCATTTGATAGGCATCTGAAATAAAGTAAAACATTTTTGTTTTGTTTCTTATATCTTATTAAGATACAGGATCGCTGTAATGTGTGCCTTAAGAATTGTGACCTGGTAACATGAGAATCAATTAAATGCTTCAAAGTAATGCCACTTAAGTAACTGTAAGCATTCAGAACTAGCACTTCTTCCTGCCACATATAAAAAGTGGAAATGTACATATAGATTAGTGTGGATCAATGCACATGGTCTAAACATAGTTCCTACAACTCATGGAATGCATGGTTTATTTCACTTACTACACAGTTAATAAACAATCTGATGGACTGGGTGACAGACCAGAGACTGGCTGTTTTGTATTCCCCGGTCATTTCTTGATTTGTGTGGGCCTTGGGTGCCATTATAAGGAGATATGTGCGCAATAAAAATCTAAAATTCTGATTTCAAGTCTAACACACTCATCCAGAACAACATGACTGGTGCTATCATTAGTACTACAAATATGTGGAGGCTTACTTTTTTGGACTGTATACATTGGGATACATTTTTTTGTTATTATAACCAAGCCTAAAGCATGTAAAGTGATTGGGGTATACATGAGTGGTCCCACCATGCAGGACCACACCTTTCATCCTCAACACTTACCTTGCCACCCTGTGCTTTGTACTCATTGGAGTCTACCTCCAAGAACTTGGCCAGACCAAAGTCTGTGATCTTGACCTGTGCTGGACTCTGAACGAGGACGTTCCTAGCAGCCAGGTCACGATGAATAAGATGTTTTTCCTCCAGGTATACCATTCCCTGTGATAGTGATAGAGTGGAGGAAAGGACAGTCAAGATTTATCTTCTAATCACCAAAGAATATAATATTTTTATGTACAGTGAGAAACATCATAACGTTTAAATTTAAACACCAATAATAGAACATTAGATGTTTGGTTGTTTTGGCTAAGAATTTTGATGTTTCATTTTTACAAAAAACACTACATGTCATTAGCCCCAAGCAACACTGCCATCTATTTACATATATTTAGAGGCTTACCAGAACTGTTCTTCATTACTGTAACTTGTGTGATGTGTCGTCCGACCCAACTGATGTCTTTGTGTGGGTTTGATTTGTTTCTATTATATGGTGGCAGCAGTAGGATATGAACCCTTGTCATCTTAATGACTGATACCACAAGAGGTTAATGGTGATTAATGTTATATCCCTGGTGTGGGATTGTGTTGTTTCTATTAATATGGTGGCAGCAGTGGGATATGAACCCATGTCATCTTAATGACTGGTACCACAAGAGGTTAATGGTGATTAATGTTACATCCCTGGTGTGGGATTGTGTTGTTTCTACTTATATGGTGGCAGCAGTGGGATACGAACCCATGTCATCGTAATGACTGGTACCACAAGAGGTTAATGATGATTAATGTTACATTCCTGGTGTGGGATTGTCTTGTTTCTACTAATATGGTGGCAGCAGTGGGATATGAACCCATGACATCTTAATGACTGGTACTACAAGAGGTTAATGATGATTAATGTTACATCCCTGGTGTGGGACTGTCTTGTTTCTACTAATATGGTGGCAGCAGTGGGATATCAACCCATGTCATCTTAATGACTGGTACCACAAGAGGTTCATGGTGATTAATGTTACATCCCTGGTGTGGGATTGTCTTGTTTCTAAGTTTTTCTAAGTCAACCTACCTTTGCAATTTGAAAGCTCCAGTTGAGCAAATGGTGAGAGCCAATCTGCTCCTTGTGCTGACGTACGTAGTCCAAGATGGCCCCAAGTGGCATGAGTTGGGTGATCAGGGTCATGTTTTGGGCAATGCAGACACACAGAAGACGTAGCAGGCATGGGTGGTCCACAGATGCCATAACTTTTGCTTCCTGTGATACAAGGAGTAAGCACAAATTTGGAATATTATAAATAAAATTGAGTAAAAATCAAACGTTATCTTGATATTTCAGAAGAGGGACAATGGAGGAGGAAGGGTTCGATTGCCTCTTCCCTACATGATTTGTCAAACATGCATCCCCCTTTAAAAAATTGATGTCCTTTCTTTGCTGAGCTTGGAGCTTGTCATACACTTTGGACTCACATTATGTTCTTCAGAAGAATGTGATAACTTTTGTTGTTGTTGCTTGTCGTACATGACAAAGACCTGTGCCCCCCCTTCAATAAAATCTGTTGCCATTCACATATTTAATCAATTGTTATATCATTACATATACCTTCAGTACACACTAAAATTGGATGTTTATTGGGTGTTTGGTTCAAATCAAATGCCTAGTCACACATATTCATATGCCTAGTCACACACATTCATATGCCTAGTCACACACATTCATATGCCTAGTCACACATATTCATATGCCTAGTCACACACATTCATATGCCTAGTCACACACATTCATATGCCTAGTCACACACATTCATATGCCTAGTCATACATGTTCATATACGGCAGCACTTAATTTGCAGAGGTTGGAGCATTACTAACCTCTAGCAGTTCCTCAGCTGCATGGGGCGAGACTTCCCTGAGAGCCTTGATAGCGACGGGAATCCTGATCTTCTCACCGTCCGGGATCCACAGACCCTTGTACACGGTCCCAAAGGCTCCGGATCCTAGGACCGGACCTAACTTGAGCTCGGTGTCTTTGATAATCTTCAGCTGGGCCTGGTTGGGCTCCACGTTGCTTGGTGTCAGAGGCTGGAAAGAGACAATGTCAGGTCAACAGAGAAAGACGTAGATTAAGCTTACAGGTCATATTTAGTTTGTAGTGAATAGGATATTAGAATGATCAGGACTGCATCTAATATGCCTCCGCCCTAGATTCAGTACCGGTATAGGAAATGGATGGAATTATTTGTGACATATCACGATGAAGACAAAAAGCCTGTCTGTTGTGGTTCTTGAGATATTGCAATAGTGTGGCTAAAACCTGTAATTTTATATATTGACCACTATGACCTTTGACCTTTAAATCCAAAATCTGACCAGACCATCCAATCTTCCTATGGTGAAACATACTATCATCAAGTTTGAGCCGCGTATCTGTCATCACTGTCTGTATTCCAGGATTAAATAGCTACAAATATGCAATCTCTGAATACATAAATCAGAAAACAGTACATACTCTCAATGCCACTTGCTCGAGTCTTCCTTTGATCATACGAATGCTTTGTTAAACTCTGTACATGGTGTACTTTCTATTTTCTTTAACTTACCGCTCCAGTATAGTCACAGCTCTTCATATCATGCAGATCCTGAAATAAAAAAAGAAATTGCAAAAGGATTTTATAATATCTAAAAATATACTAGTACTTACATGGTAAAACAAGAAACATGTATTGTTCCAAAGTAAATTTTGGACTGTCATAAATGATGGTGCTATATCTGCTTAGAATTAACATACCAAATCAACCAGACCATATTAAAAGGCGAGGGTGATGACGTATAATTGTCTTAACAAAAGTATTGTTAGTTTTGGCTTGATACCAAACTAAAAATACTAGTAAACATCCATTATTGGAAATTTGTAAAAACTTGCTCAGCTAAATTTCTCGGCAAATTAAAGGTATTACAAAGTTTTGGTATGGGGTCATGAATTTGGTTCAAATTAACATATTGGAAGCATTATGCGTTCCTACAATATAAATTGATCGTTGTCGCGGTTGAAATCGAGTCTAAAGTTATGAAATTATAAATAATAAACTCTTTATGTTGTATAGCTCCCTCTCAAGGTCAAGATATTAATATACCTATGAAACAATGTTTCTTGACTAAAATCGAGCGATTAGATATTCCCGTTTGGAAATTATATATCCCAACTTCATATTCTGAAATTTTCATGGTCGCAGCTACCAATGTACGGCCATAAGCGCTATTTGAAATTTATCAAAATTTACCGGGAGCACCGGTAAATTTTTATATTCAATTTTTCTCGAAAACAGAATTTTTTTAGGGGCTAATTTTTTTAGTGCTTATAATACATCCACAGGGGCATCCAAATATATCAAAATTGTAAAGATTCACTACCCACCCAATTTCCAAAATTTCCCAAAACTTTGTATTACCTTTAATGTCTCTTGACTAAACCTTGCATCAAACAACCTCCATTAATTTCCATCAATTTCTAAATCATAATTCACAACATATCTCTATCACTAACCAGTTTGAAAGAAAAATATGATCCTACGCTAGTCCATCTGGGCATATAAGACTTCCCTAAAAATTCTAAACTCTTGTAAGAGAAATACAAAGTTTGCAGGGGTTTGCGTGCCATTCCACCCACATAGACTTTCAAGTCGATTATCAACTCTGGCATATTTAGGTAGCCTCACATAAGTCCTGACTGCAGCCTATTTAGTGCAACCTCGAGTTTTCCTCTCTAATAAATATTTAGTTATACTCACTATGTTAGGGGGGATGTCGATGTACATGTCGTTCTTGATGCGTTGTTTGAACCAGATGACGAACACGATGATGACGATGAAGATGATGAGGGAGCTCGTCACGATGCCGGCAAGAAGTCCGATAGACATACCTCCACTGTTGAGAGGAAGACTTGGGTTAGTATAGGGAAATCAACAGAAAGCAGATACACGATTTAAAACAAGGTTTTATGAAGAGCAGGTATTACATGCAGATCATATTTCAAGAGGAATGTATGGACAGTAAACAAAAATAAAAGGCAAAGGAGATGCAATGTTCAAAATATGGAGAACATGTGATTAGATTGAACAAAAATGCAAAAAACAAAAGATTTTAATTTTGTTTAAGTTTTATATGTTTGTAACATACAACATCAGAAGTAATTAATTACAAAAGTAAAAGGATAGTTTGAAAGGATAAAACCAGAGCTGCCAACCTGTCACTTTCAAAATGCATATTATTCAGCTTGAAAAAAAATATTTTTAGGTGAAAAAACATATTTTGCCTCTTTATTGTTTTTCGTTATTGTCCCTATAAAATGCTATTGCAATCATATTTCTTTGAATAAAAACGCATTCAATCATTGTCACTTTAAAAAAAAAATAATTATGAGACAACTCACTCGAATCAATAATAAGCCAAAACTACCGGTAATTTGACGTTAAAATTTATTTCAAAAATTGATGAAACACCCCCAGTATTAGATTAACCTGCCCAAAATTTAACCGCTTTAGCTATGCATTTGTGCAGTGTGCATTCTGCTAAACTTACTTGCCACAGAATCATATTTCCACAAATGTATCTTTAATATATATACCTATTTTATCAGAAAGTTCAATTATTCAAAACATCACAGAATTTTACGAAATCTGAAAATATAAGTCAATGAGTACGAGGGGCTGCTGAAATGTGGTGCACCACACAATGATTTTCTTTGCGGAAATTGCGTTCGCACAGCCATACTCGAAACTTTCAAAAAACGTATTTTAGCACAGCAAAACGAACAGACGTATCCCCCCCCAAAAAAAACGTATTAATATATAAAAAAACGTACTACTTGGCAGCTCTGCACAACCCAGCGTAGAAGACACATTATATGTAGAGGGAAGCAGACATAGACGATAAACAAGGAGAGGGATGAGGAGAGGAAGCACAAGAAGCAGATTTTGGTTGTCATGGGAACAGGATGAGGGTGACAGCAGGTGGAAAACAGATGGACAGACATGAAAAACAAACAAACAACAAACAAACAGTTCAATTCAAACATCTGTCATGATATTCTAATATTATTTTAATAGCAAAGTAATGTCAGCAAAAACTTTCATATTAATTATATGTGAAACATTCCAAGGTGGTGCTAAGAAACTAAATTTTTTTTTTTTAATTTTTTTTTTTACTGAATGTGAATTTTCTGTGAGATCTAAGACAACTTCTTTTTAATAGTCATGCTGACTGTAAACCTCACAATTATACATAATTAGTTGGTACCCACCCTGGTTTGGGCGTGGCCTTCTGATCAGGACCATGAATGTAGAGACAGGTACCATTGGTGTTCTTATAAGCAGCTGGACACTCCGCCCGACATTCCAGGTTCACCACCACGTTCTTGCAGGCATAGCACCCGCTTCGCGTGCCGTTATGGCAACCGTCTTTACACTCGGTGTGGCACCCCTCGCATTTTGACATGGCGTTAGGGAAAAACAGGGTGGGGCAGGTCTTACCGCAGACGTAAGGACTGAGCTCGTTGGGGTATTCCGCTGGGCAGGAAAGTGCACAGAAGAACTGTTGGTATTCAAATAAATATTAGAATGAAATCAAAACTTTATTATTGTATATTGTGCTAAATATCATCTGCCTAGAGCTCTTAGGGAGTGATACCACATCATCATTATGCATGTACACAACACAGCTGTGTTCGGATCCATTTTTGTTTTATACTATACAGGTTTTTGATCTTTGTAGAGACACTTTGTACCCCAATGGATACCATTCCTGGTCAGAGGTCCCTTGAACAAAGTATTCAAAGGTTGCCATTTGTGTGAAAGTATAAGAATTGCATTTTTCCTGGTCTTACAATATGAGTATAAATATCTCTGAAGTTATAGGAAAATCAAGTTCACTTTAAATAAGAACAACGCTCAACAACATTGTATGAATATCTCTGAAATAAAGAAATATACAAGCGCCATTTTAAAGGCATTTCAAACCATTATCGCTTTCCATATGGTCTTGCTTCCCATCACCTTTCGGCTTAATTTTTGTCAGTGTTTGTTTAGAAAATTTGAGTTGTACACATTTGACAAAGATAACATCACTGGAATTATTCCCCTCTTAAAAATAAAGCAACTATCAAAAAGCTGAGAAGAGATAGATAACTTACAGTATTTTCTCCAGTTTGTACGGTGTATGATTCGCAATCCAGACAGTCATGTACGGTACCATTGAAGCATTGCCTGCACTGGGGGTGGCATGGTTGACACATCTGTAAAAAGGAAAGAACAATAAATATAATTTTATTTTATTATTACTTGGCATTATCTCGTTAATGACAACTAGCTACATGCACATTTTGAAGTTTGGTTACATATCTCTAAAAGTCCTAAACATATCAATACTGGACGCCCATAAGAATGAGGATCGAGACAGAGCAGTCATTTCAGCAAACGCTTCAACCCTTTTTGATGCATTGCCATTTATTGTTACATGCCTTTTACAGGAGAGAAATAACCTATGATCCTTCAATTGGCAACATGTTGAAAACTTTAAGCACTTTTTTTTTTACAAATTGGCATTTAAAGGTTATGGTCATGCGATTGCATTGTGAAAGAAACGTTGTGGAATCGATCAGAAAAGGTTGATCATCTAGCATAGATGTACTGCAAGGTTCTGGAATCATCAAAATGATAAGAAATTTGGCCCATTCTTCGTAAAGTTACAAGCACTATACACAGAAAGATGTATATGGGACTACCCTATATCTCTCACAGACCATGAGAGAAACAAATTTACCAAATATATGAATTAGTAGGCGGTTTCCTGGCAAATTTTTTATCATCATGTATTAGTCAAAACATATTCTTCCACATGATTGGTAATGAGAGCTTCCATTTCATTTTTTGAAATTGGGGCGTTTCCAATACTGGTCTTTACCTTTAAAAAAAATATATATTTTACATAGTTTATGCCCATGTATATCCTTTCTCTTGACCAAAATGAAGCAAAGAAACTGAAATACCAGAGTTGCCAATTTGGTTCTCAGCGACAAGAGATCCATTCTTACTTACATCGTCCACATCAGGATAGAAGCCCGACCGACACTCATCTACGCATTCATCATCCTGCCGGAAAAGTTTACACTGCTTGCATCGTCGAGGCCCCGCCCCGTCACATCCGATACACATAGGGTCACACTGCTGGCAGATCTGTTGGGTCAAAGGTCAAAGTTTACATCAATTTTTGTACATAAACAAATGCAATTTTTTAAAATATGCCCAGAAGAAGTTATTGGGATTAAGCTCACTTTATCATCTCCTAAGAGCAAAAAGGGGTTTTCCCCATATTAACACAGCTGTCTGGCTCTATATACATGATTCTACAGGCAGGTACAGTAAATAGTTGTTTAAATGATGGAAATTTACATTCAGTGGTTAATTGAATTGATGACTTTAATATGAATACTTACAAGGAACACTTCTGTACATACAAAGAAAGTTGATCAGCGGAATACTACACCAGTCAAAAGCAAAATCGCTCCAATAATTATCTATGGTTTGCTTCGTACTGCACGTTTGTTTCCTGTTATATATCTTGTAACAATATATTATCATTATATTCATTATACCGTATTTGCCGGCATAAAGGCCACAGTATTTTTGGAAGAGAAAATATCAAAAAGTCGGGTGCGGCCTATCCGGCGAAAGAGTTAAAAATAAAAATTTTAAAAAAAAGTCAAAACCAGCACGGATTTGCACATATGGGACTAGATCTACGAACGGTACAATAACTATACATTTCCACACATCTTACCAACAATTTTATCTTGCATTGTTGACATGAAGACGAAAATAAACTTCCAAAAACAACATCTGCCGATAGATATTGATCTAAGTTCGTGCCAATTCATTGCAAAAGTAAAAGAAGGGCCCGTTTAACGGAGCTGCCGCGAAGCATCTAGCACGCTTAGTCGCTATTACGAATCCATTTCAATACACAAGAGAGAGGCGCAATGTATACATCACAGAAAACTCCATATGCTAGCATCAGTGCGGCACGGCCGAGCGGTCTAAGGCGCTGATTTTAGTCACATCAACATTTGAACGCAAGAGATCGAATCCCGACTTCGACAAGAATATATATATATTATTATTTATTTTATTTTTTTTTTTCCCGAGCGGTCTTAGGCGGTGATTTTAGTTACATCAACATTTGTACGCAAGAGATCAAATCCGGACTTCGACATTTTTTTTTTTTTTTTTAATGTCAAAATTGGGGGTGCGGCATATACGGCGCGGCGGCCTTATCGCCGGCAAATACGATAAGTATTTTTTTGCATCATGCATGTAAACAAAACTTAACTCCATGCATGATCTTAGGATAATAATGAAGTATTGAACTAAATTAAATTGAAGCTAATAAATACCTGAGAAAATTAACTAAACATAATATTACTTCTTTTTATTAAAGTACTTACCACTGAACCTGCTAGAGGATCAGACTTCTCCGAGTGGGAGATGCGATCATAGAAATAGTCATCACTACACGGAGTATTGATAAGCATACACTCCATCTGAAAATGAAAACAATCAACACTTTATATTCGATTACCAAAAAGAAAGTGTTTTAATTGAGTGGTTTTAGCATTTGACTAGAGATGTGAAGGTGGTGAATATGAGCCCCAGTCACTGCACTCTTGTCCTTTTGTGAGACATTAAAGCCCCTCTAAAGTGTTGGGAGCTTCAAAAATTTGATGACACTTACAGTGTATCATAATGTGACGTAGGATGTCATTTAAGACACACTTCTGCAAAGATTTCCCCCACAAAATGTGCATGTAGACAAGTATTGATAAAAGAATACATAATTTGGGTTATTAAGTAGAAAGGGATTCCAATAAGATCAGTAGCCTAGCTAAAACCAGAGTATAGGAGTACTAGGAGTATAAGGGAAGCTATTACTATTCAAAACAGTGTTCCTGAACGGCAACTATTTTCAGAAAAAACACACCATTTTCATATTTTACCAGCTGCAACTGCCAAACAGCATTAAATTACTGAAATGCTATTAGAAAAATAAAATGTTCGACCCCACAGCATGAGGAAAACAGATATTGACTGATGATGATGATGATCATCATCATCACAATTTCTCTCTGCACTACCCCTTGCCATTAATATACATGCCAAATGGTATCAATTTATTTTGCCACACTGATTTTCTTGAAGCGATATGTACCACCACATCAGAATACTGGTCACTTACCACTTTTCTGTTATAGTCAAGCATAACTTGCGGGCATTCCAAGCAACCATCTTCACCAAGATTGTTCTCAGGGCCATTACATCTACACACAAACAAGAAAGAAATAAATACAATATGAAATCTCCTCAAGAGCTAGTGACTCTATAGGGGTATTATTTTAATACAAAGATATACAAAATAGCATAGCCACACTGTTTTGCTGAGAGTTCAAAACGATTCCCCCCCCCCCCTATAATTTTTTAAATATTTTAATTATCTTATTATTTTTTATTTAAATTCATTTATTATATATATATATATATATAGTTGGGGGAGGGGGAGGGAAGTCATGAGTGCATTTTTTATATTTTTAAAGGCCAAGTGTATCAGACCTATGTTAATGTCAAACCTTTTGACATAGATTTTCTTTTCGGTGTGCTATTGGTTTCAGTATTTTAAAGACACTTTTATGTTTTGTTTTTAAATAATGACTGTACACTAGGGGTGAACAAAAGCTGAACTGAACTATAAACTGGATCACATGCATATATCACTTAAATACAAAAAAATAATTTTCTGCATCTGAATCTGAATGACTCTCTCCAGCCTTCCACCAATGATCCGGCATCTGCTCTGGCAACCAGCCCTCCAGACTTCCATCCTTCAAAATTGTAGGGTCAGGATATAGTCGGGTATTAGGTTAGGTTTAGGGTTAAGGTTACTTATAGTATATTGGGTACAGGGTAAAAGTTAGAAATTCCAGTACTATGGTCTTACCCCTTGAGGCAGTTTGAGTGGCAATCGGTACAGTTCTTTTGAGCGTTGGCAAACTTGGGTTCGGGACACTCCGCCCTGCAGAAGGGACCGTCCTGGACGTTGCGACACATCCTCCTGCAGTTTGTTCCTGTTGAGTCTGATTGGCAGTCACACTGGTCTGGTTCCTGAGGGGGCAAGGGTCAAATGTCAAGGGTGTTAAAAGGTCATTGGAACTCAATCAGAACAATCTAATTATATCTAAGGCATATAAAATTTGACCGACTTGATGATATGTTGAAGCCGTCAATATATGGGGGTAATTTGAAGACATGGAGCAAAAATTACTACCGGTACACACTGAGTCAACAAATCCACAAAGGCTTGTGTTGCTTAAATTGGCAATACATTGAATAGTTCAAGATGACTGTCTTTCCATACATTTCGATTGGCATTTTGTTATCTTTTCAGCATTATTTCTGTCCATTCATCCTCATTTCGGGTATGCAGCTTTTCATATGAAACACACAAGAGTAATAGAAATATACAGTGTTGCCAATTTAAGTCCTTTCAAAATTGGCTATTTCAACTTACCGGTCCTGAGCACCCAGCTGAGCATTGAGTATCACAGTGTTCACACACAGCTGCTTCTGAAGCACTAGCCTCCGTCTCCACATATTGGCTGTATTGTGGGTAAGATCAGAATCAAGAATACACTTAAGTACTTAATTTCGTGACAGTTCTAGCATTCATCTCTCAACTGACAAAAAATAAATGAAATTCATCCAAATTCAGTTTAATGTCCACTATTCCCATGTACAAATCTATTCAAACAATCTTATTAAAATTCATTTATTTATCTTTCAATTGACCAAAAAAATGAAATTCATCCAAATTCAGTTTAATGTCCTCTATTCCCATGTACAAATCTATTCAAACAATCTTATTAAAATTCATTTATTTTTCATAAAATTTAACCAAAAAATATCTCAGATTCACCAAAGGTACAGCAAGACTTTAGAAGAAATCAGATGTCAAAGACAGCACATTTAAAACAATGGCATCACTAATGCAACAATTATGCAATGACAAAACTGCTATATAAAATGTGAAAAAATCATATTGTGATATTAATATGAAAAAATATACATTCAGAATGTTAATTTACCCCACAAATTTGCTTGAAAATGAATTGATCTACTGGGATTATCCTGATAACTTACCCGTTATCCAGATCACATGCTTCAATGCAGGTATCACCGATGATTGCATTCTTACACTTAGCACACTGCCGAGGACCAGGCCCCCAGCAGCCGATATCAGCGCATTGTGGATCACAGGTTTTATTCTCAGCAACTAGAGGTTTTTTTAGTGTGGGGAGGAAAAGAGGGAAAGAGAGTTAGAAGGTGTGCAGAACAATGTTTAGAGTTGACTAAACCTACCAAATAATCGTATGATTACCTAATCATATAATAATTAAGTGTTATTTACAAGCTCATGAGAGAATATGCCTTGTGTTCCTTTTCTGTGAATCAGACATACATTTTCAAATTAATTTTGAGTATGTACTTGTGACTACTTAACACTTCTAAATAGATTTGATTCTTCTAGTTTTAAATAGACATCAAACACCTCTACAAATTGCATTTTTTTTATACATTATATTCTCAGTAAATTGACATGAATCCTGAGAGTTTGGACAATTTGATTATCCTATCCTACTACTAGAATAATTTATAAGTAAATACAATCACAATTGCAGTGAATTTCAGAGCAGAGCACAATTTCAACAAAACATTTTAAATCTTATCCCTCAAAATAAAGGCCCTACACTACCGGAATCAAATGCACATTTTATCATTTTGAAATTGAAGCTTCTGATGATATAAAATATAGTTTAAGGATAAAAGATAAATTGCAATATAAGCACTTCTCAAATGTAACGCTTTTATATGATTAAATTTGTAAATAAAACTTAGCTATTATCATCATGCACAAAATGAATCAGTTACATTTTCTAAACCAAATTGTCAATCTTACAAATAAATGGCAAAATAATGCATTGAGGAGAAACTCAGTGCATACTGACTTTTTGAACAAGTTCTTTTAAAAGGCTGTCAGTAATTCCACAAGGTAAATGGGATTGCTTATCTTTCTGTCTTTTATTTCAGCCTGGGTTTCGCACAGCACAGATTCAGGCGAGGTTCAGAAAATGTAACTGACTCTTGATATGACGGACAAATCTTTGATCTTATTCAAGCAGCAGTAATATCTTGACAGGCAACTTATATATATTTCAGATATTCTATTCTATTTTCTCATTTTTATTTTCTAAAATCTACGTCATCTAGCTCATTCTTTTTCTAAATTATCTATAAGCAGACAATACAGACAAATACAAAACAGGCAGACGGTACATGGACATAGCACTATGATCTCTAAAGTCATCTACTTGTTTTTAAATAATAAAAGAAATAAACAAAAAATTAGCATGGATGCAATTTTCCCTGATTTTTTTCCAAAATGTATATATATATGAATAAATGAATTTGTATATTCCTAAAGAAAAGTGGCATGAACTATGATATAAACCCCATTGAACAAGGTTTCGGTTTTAGGCATTTTTCAAAAGATTTGAATCCAATATCTTAGCATTTTTAAATAATCATGGATAATAAAATGAAAACTTTTCACTGTTTTCTTGAAAAGAACTTCACATTAAGATGGATATGGACTAGCCACTTTTCTTGGAATGATGTACAAATATCAAAATAGATGAATGTTGATTACAAGCATTCTACAAACTACAAATAGGAACATCTTCAGAATGTTAAACATGTATAGAAACCACAGGAAACATTGCATAATTGTTTTAAAAGCATCTTTTTTTTTCTTCAAAAATGACAACACATCTGGAAAATTCCATCACCCCATTCTCCCTTTATTTCCATTGAAAACCTGTGTTTATAAATGGATTATTCTTGGAGAAGAGGCTACTGAAATTTCTGGTCAAACTGAATTGTCGCTTGCTAAAACAGTTATGCAACTTTTCCAACATTGTTACCATTTTCAAGGTGTAATATAAACTACAAATCAACCAGACATTTTGTAATTTTTAAAGAAAAAGTTTTTTTGAGAAAAAATGAATAAGAAAAAGAGTTTTTAGATTTATAAGTCATGATATCCACAATTCAACCTATTTCATGAAAATACATAACTATTGTTTATCTAAATACAGGGGCAATACAACATTCATAAACCCCTACAAAACTTTGAAAGTCATTAATTTCTCATGGAACATATCAATGATTTCCTTCCAATTATTACTGTGTAACTTATCAAGCTTACAAAATGTCTGTTTAATTTCTCCATGGATAGAAAGGAGCAGTGCTTTCATCGTCACACTGCAAATTATATCAACATATTCAAAAGTGAGAATAAACAGTTTAAATGCATATATGAATATTGTGTAAGATCAGAAAAACAACAAAAAATTATAATATCCATGGAGAGTGCAGTATAAATGTGCTATTCAGTGCTTTTGCAGATTCAGTAGAAAAACCACACACTGAGAAAATGGAGAGGGAGGCTCACAAATGATCTTTCATGACAAGCTATGGTCGACTCTTTCAGGCACAATTCATTGATCCTGTTAAAATAACTTTATTCTCCTTTTCAAAATTTATTTGTAAGCTTTAATTGCCTACGGGAAGCATCTAACTTCATGTACAATCATAACAGTATCCTAGTTTAATAGTCGAATGATTTATACTTGCAAGGATTTACAAAAGAAAAATGGTTATCTCAGACCCCTTTAATAGTTTAGCGAAATTCGGTTCAAACAATTCTGATAACAGGCGATAATGATTTTTGACCCGTATTGCCAACCATATTCAAGTCATGAATAGTGAATTAAAAGATCATTTGTGACCACACGTTCCATTTCTTCATTCACACACTATACTCACACATACATACAAATACCACCACTGTCACATCAGAAACCATAAATACATATTATATCCAACATTTGATAAAAGAGTAAATATAAAGTGCTGTGAGTTTAAAAAGGAAAAGAAACACTTTGTCAAAGTTGTGCATCGGAGTAGTAGTAGCCCATCACCAGCGTAAAATGAAAATGAAGAATTAAAAACAAAAATATGAAATCATAAAAAGAATGAAGGATGAGAAATCAGTGATGAGAAACTTGGTGAAAGTGGCTATGAGAGAAATATCAACGTAAAGATGGCTGAAAAATGAAACCAAAATGAAAATGAAAATCAAAGGTGATCAGATGAAGAGTAGTGATGAAATTATAAAACAATAATATGATGGATAACTTCAGTTTGTCAAGATGGGCATTTCTTTTCAAATTGAAGATACCATAACTGATTGGTTTAGTTAGGCAGCAAACTATGTGAGTGAAAGGATAGAGACTGATTTCAAATCATTTTTTATTTGCAGCCTTCTTTCGCATAAATGTATGTTTATTGGATTGCTAAATGTACCTTTGAGAATATTTTTCATACATGCAATTTTGAATAATTTCTGAACTGCTTTCAGTTTCTTCAAGCCCAATAAAACAAAAGGGTTTCAAAGCCAATTTATCTTGTTCCAGGAGACAATGTCCATACATAATGGTAATCTTAGATATTTTCTGACAAATGGCTGCAAAAAGCCTTTGTTTAATTCAAACCAAATCAAAGTTTACTGCCACATATCCACCGATACAAACTCAAAATAAAAACAGATGAAGAATTAGATATTCCCTTGAACCAATGAAGCAAGAGAATTGAAGACTCAGTAGAAAAAAATCAACTTGGTATAAGTAAAGCAAGAGGAAACACTTTTTGAAAAGTAGGCACAAAATTTCTTGGATAAAATCACTGTTCTTTACAACAAGTCAATAGAACTACTTCAGAAAGATTGCATAAAAGTGTTTCACTGAACTTGAAATACAAGAAATTTTGAAAAATATAGAAAAATAGGCATATTTGGTTCTTGAGATGAGTAATTTCTTTTCTAAAAAGATGTCTATATAATTGTCATGCAAATTTTGTGGGTTTTACCAACAAACCCAATTACTTGGAATTATCTTTTATAACTCTCTAGTCACTTAAAATTACCTTTTTTATGTTAAAATATGAATACGATTGAAGTCAGAATGACCATAAATAAGCACACACAGATAAATAGATGTATTTATTATCTTTTCACGCTTGTTACGCATGTGGCATTCTCCTGTGTTAAATATGAACCATACCAAGTGAGTTATTTCACCGATTGGAGGGATCATGATGAGTTACCAATCAGACAAGATGTATTATTGATTGAATAATCGCTCCCTTATCGGAGAGGATTGATGGATGACAAGGTTCAGGCATATAGATAGAAATTACTTTGGGAATAATTGTAATGCACTAATGCTCCTTTTAATATATTTTCTCACATGATGTTTTTTTTTCTTTTCATAAAGCTGTTTAAAGATTTTGTTAATATATTGCCACATTCAAAATTGCCACATTCAAAATTGCCCCATTCAATCTGGTGAAGGTGGATATTTAAAAAAGAAATTTACAGATCTTCTGACATGAATATTTTTTTTTGTTTTCTTCCCCTTCATAAAGTAGTATTTGTTACAAAACTGTAGACATCTAAAAGATAGTATTATTTACAGATTATCTGTTAAGTATAGTACTTCAATGATGGTATCTCTAAAATAAAAATGAAAAATCTGTAGAGCTATTTGAAAAATCCGCAGAACCAAGGAGCAATAAAGCAGATAAGCCTGGCATAGAGAAGAAGTGCTAACAGCAGCGCTGAGATGCAGACAGGGTGTAAGGTGAGTGGCACCAAGCCCCTGAAAGGAAGCGCAGCTGCAGATATTTAGTACCCATCAAGCAAATGAAATGCTCCAAAATCGTCGACTCTTTGAGATCATATTAAACGTTTGCAAGATCCAGAGAATATACGTTGCAGAACATGATGATCGATGCAAGAGGAAATGAGTGGGGTAAAGGGGATGTTAAATTCTGTAAACATGCCGGTTGATTGGAATGCGGGGTAGGAGGGGTAAGGAGTGGGGTAGGAGGGGTAAGGAGTGGGCTAAGACTGCTAATAAGGGATGGTAAGGATTGGTAAGGGTTGGTAAGGGTTGGTAAGGGTGGGTTGGTAGGGATTGGTAAGGTAACGCAAGGGTACGCAGGTGGGGAGAGAAGGAGAGATAGGGGTGGATGTCAGATTCCAAAGTGCTGGTTTGTTTTGAGATGTTTTGTCTTGTAGGAACAAAAAAAGACCAGACTTTTGTTTTGTCTTGTTATGGCTTGGTTCAACAGACAAAACTTTTGAATAAAGGGAGGTGGTATTGAGGGTTGTGTACACTGGGTTGTTAAACATGGTTAATACTCATATCAACCCTTTTCTTGGAGTTATCAGGGGTCGTGTGGAGGTCATTGGGAGGTCACAGAGAAGTCACAGAGAGGTCATATGGAAGTACATGGGGTGGGGTTGAGATGATTGGACACAAATTAAAAACATGAAGGGAAGGTGGTAAAAGGGTTCAGTTTATTACAAGGATTTTTGTGTTGAGGGAATCGGGAGGGAGATGGAAAGGGGGTTGCCTGGTTAAAGATTACTGCGGTTTGCACGGATACATTTCTTTGAAGTTACAATGACATTAGCGTGTCCCATATAACCATAATTTTGTTTAAGCCATAGGGTACCAGACATATAGAGAATTTAAGGATAAGTAAAACAAGGAATTCTTCAGCAATATATTTTCCTGAGAAAAGGGGGAAAGGTGGGGGGCGGGGTCTAATCTCCTACATGTTAAGGGTCCAGAAATTAAATGCTAGGATTGAAAATTGAAGTGGATTCTGGGCTGTATTATCAAATCAACCTCAATTGATATTTCCCATTACAAAGATCTTCGTTTAATATCCAACTTAAACAAAACTTTTTTTGTTCAAAAATGAAAAATTTACACTAGGTAATACACAAAAGTGTCCCTTGATGACATGACAATCTAAATTTACTCCAAATATCCATTTATATTATGTTGTAATAAAGTTGGCTTATCTGGACAATATCTAAACCTCCCAAATAGGTAAGGTACCCTTAATCAAATCGCTACGTATAATTGGGGTGAACAATATGGTGATCCCTTGCGTAACACAGGATGTAGGGTAAAGGGTCAAAATTACGAAGGGGTCAAAAGATTAAAGGGCAAAGGTTACACCTACCATTTACCCTCCCCCAAAATAACTCTAGAATATCCATCCTCTAAATACAATTTTTTTCTTTCTATTTAGATAGTCTAACCCCATGTTATGTTAGTACTTGGATCTATGTTCCATTCCATGACTATAAGGTTAATTTCTATTGTTATCTATATCAAATGCGAAGACAGGAGTATTTACAAGTTAGCGCAGTCTGCAATGAGAAACAAACACACCTTGCGTATGCTTCAAGTTGGAGCATGCGGTACAGATTATTTGACATATGTTGCAAATGATCACAAGCAGGACGTTTTCTAATTGTTTGTTTTTTATGAAGAGTGTTTTTGGTATATATCTTAACTGTGTCTGAATAGATGATTGTTTGTTGTCTCGTTACCATGGTATTAACTATGAAGTATTAATCATAACTGCGTTTATGATTATGTATATAATTTCAATTTCATATACTTGCATTTTAATTGAAACTCCATTTAAGCTCGGGATACCTAGATTGCCATTTGTCTGCAACACCTTTGCAGGACATATGACAGTATATTGTCAAAGACAATTTACAGGGACTAATTTCTCACTTTCTAGCTTATTATTGACTTGCATCGATATTGGTATCAAGATGCATTTGAATTTTAAAAAAATTCAAAGAAGTAATCTTTCATTACTGAAAAAAAGTCCACTAATTTTATCAATTTGTATCTTCCTCCTACCTTAATTCATAAAATGACCCAACGGAAGATCTCAGATTTCCATTTCGAGATTTTGGAAGAGAAAGTCAGAAAAAGAAGATATGGAACTGTAAAGTTCAAAATAAAATAGGAATGTTTAAATGATATGTGCTTTAAAATAAAAAACACAGAAATTGTGCTGAACTAGAATATCAAACTTCTAAATCAAAATCAAATGTGGGTTTAAAGGTCAAAATAACTCAAATATTGTGTTGTGCATGATCGAACTGTGTTCAAAACAAAGGGGAATGTGTAAGCTTGGTCAGAAGAAACGGTCTTGATCCATACAATATTTCATTGAACCATCAGGCTATAAAGGGGGCTCTGTTTCTAACACATTCTCAAGTGTAATATTCTGTTTCATAGATTAGAGAACATACAATATTCATATTCCCATAGGGACAATGCTGTCCATTGTCTAACTTTCATTGTGTTTTCTGAATTATATTTTTTCTTCTCCGTTTTGATTTGGAGTCATGGGTAAAAAATTGACCAACTCATGACACTGAAAATAAAATGTTATATTCAACAAGCCAAATTAGTTATACTTAAACAAACTTTTAGAGAAAACTTCATAAAAACAGATTGAACTTTATATGAAGAAAAAAAAATCCCAGAATGGTTGTTTTGTAATTTTGATAATTTTCTACATGTAAAAAGAGCCAATTGTCATATGACTAGGATCCTATTTTTTTACACTAAAAAGATATCTGTGTTAGAAGTATTTGCAGTTATATGTTGACATCATAATTATCTCTTCTTTTTTCCCTCACAAAATCTTGCACTATCCCTCCCTTGTGTATAGTGGACTTTTCTTCTGACCAGCATGTGGAGTGTGCAGAAGTGTTTGGCAGACTGTGATTGGTTAGTGAAGTTTACTGGGTGAGTCCATTAGTTGTGCAGGGGTGCAAACATGCATTGCCATGCAGGTGCAGCAAGGAGAGTGTAAAAAACATCTCTCTAACAAAAGTGATTGGTCAAAAAGGACTATCTTCATTGGATTTCAAAGTATTTTGAAGAAATAAAGATGAATCAGAGAGAAAGAGCAAAGTAGAGGGAAGATATTATCCATCTTAGACCAAGCAAATAAAAAAAAAAGTGAAAACATCATCATGCAGAACATTCATGCAGTTATTAATAGTCATGCACAGGAATGTGAAATCAGTGACATGCAAGTGAAATTAACATCATTCAAGTGAAATTAACATCATGCAAGTGAAATTAACATCATGCAAGTGAAAAGTTGGCATGCAGAGAATGTGCGAATATCATGCAAAATGCAGTGAGTATAATGTGCAGAAAGGAAGTCAACACAAAGGCATGCAAATATTAATATATTTCAAAGGGAAAGCTTTACATGCATGCAAGACTACAGATATACATGACATGAAATGGCCATATCACACCGCTATAGCAAAACACACCCTCATAATCTATGAGAGGAGCAGTCTTTGGTTCCAACTGGGATATGAATCCCCCATGATTACAGAGGTATATGTTGTCATGAAAATTGAAAGTTTTGTCTTAAAATCTTTCAAGAATCTTTCAACTCCCCCCTAGCGATGTGAGTATGTAGACCATCTCATGTCAGTGTAAGTTACATTTGCAAACAGGTTAACACAACTCATCATGCATGTATGTTACAATATGTTACATTATGGTTAATGGTTAACATGACATAGAACATGCAATATGACATGAAACATACACATGCAGTGGTTAGTTAACTATGTATTCCCCACATCTTTAAACATTACATAAACCCACGTACCATAAACATATATATATATATATATATATATATATATATATCTATCCCATCTTATAAATTAAACGACAGACTGTATACCACAGACATCATTTTAAAACAGCACACAGGATATATTTGGTATAATTACTGACACTCTGGGCTTGTTTAGATAATTAGGGGGTGGAGTTTTGGGATTTTTTTTAAAGGGTTTTTATTTGAGGGAGCGGGAAAGTGTTGGGAATACTCACTACAGGTAGCCCTATCTTTGTTGTTTACGAAGGAGACGCTATATTCAGGATTTATGACGGCATCAAATGCAGTTTCCTCGCTATAGCAGAGCAAACGGTTATTCTGGACGTACGCTCCGCCCAGCTTGAGCTCGTTAAGTGAGATCAGGCTCAAGGCCTCCAGATGTTGGTTATCGAGAATGGCCAGCGAGGCAAACGGTGGCTCTCTAAAGCATCAACAAATAGAGAGATTGTTAGACAGTACATATCATCAAATTCAAAAGTAAAACCAGTCTGCTTTTCAAAGAAAAAAATTAATTGACATCATAAAGAAATAAGAGGATGCCGAGACATTTAGTCCTCCGACAATCTGTATGATATAGACTATGTGCGTACCAGGGCTACAAGTGCAGAGTATATACATGTGTATGATGATGTTGCTTAGCAACACGTCTCCTCAGCATGTCCTACAATGAAGATGTCTTCCATCGTTGTTGCTTGTCTGAGGTGTCCCTGGATACCTAAAGACACTACCTGTAAATCCAAAGAGTCTATTATTAAGGCGGTTAGTATTACGTTAAGGGCGAGGCATGCAAGGTCAACATGCAAGAGATACGTGCATCCATGACGGTTCAGTTTGGGTATTTCGGTGCAAGGGGTGGGTATATATATACAGAATCCTTAGGAGCATGATGAAGAGGACGTGGGAGGGTTGATACTTACGACAATCCGCATCACTGCGACTATCCTGAATGGAGATAGTCTGACGGTTTGAGCTTCTGATTGGCCTAAACATTGGCTTCTGCAAGTAGCAGAGCTTTGAATTGCTAGAGATAGTGATGTCACCATTTGATACCTCCGCGAGACTTGTCAAACCAAAGAAATCCAAGTTTGTTGACGTGATGTAGACCGAGTCCGTCTTACTGCCGCCGACCCTGTGTATATGTTTGTTACGAAGTACATGGATGCATGAGTAGGATCAGGTCTTACTAGGCAATGGTCCCTGCCATCCATTTAAAATATTCAATTTTATGCAGTTAATAATCCACCACCATAATACTTCTAATTGGGAACAAGCTGAATAAAAGCACATCCATGAATTGTGTAGCAGATTTTGAGGCACTTGATATATTGCTGATGAAAGTAGTATTCATGTTATACTAAAAAGTAAAATCATTCTTGACTTTAGATATAGATATTTTTTGGGGGATAAACCCTTCAATATACATATATCTCTCGATAATTCTAAAGAAATATCTGGTATCAAATTTTCTATCCAGTCCACAGCTTTTTCTTCTGATCATGTTTAAACGGTTTTTATTTAATGTGACTGCTCTTTTGAGAAGAGATACGGATGTAATTTCAATCTGGATTGTTGGTCTTATCTTTCTCTTCAAGAATATTAGTGGATAATGAATGGCCACAAATTTTGTTTCATTCCTCAAGTTTGCTTCAATTTAAAAAAAAAAATAGATGATGACCATCTTCTTACCTTCAAGAATGTAAACTTCAAAAACATTTCAGTACAAAATTATTAACATATATATAACATTTGAATATAACCTCAACAACTATACAACTCTATTGTAGCTTTAAACCATTAATGTAAATAAGAAACCATTGTCAATCCTCTGAACAGAGTGACTAAATTATCCTACAATTATATTGGCTAAACTTTATTCTTAACTGGAAAAGAAATGATAATAGTAAGCACTTGAGAAAAACAAAATTATACACAATGCTCTAGATATTAAAGTAATGGAGCTATCTTTTAAAATTACAACATGCAAGAGTATATTGAATTAATCTGTAGCAATTGGAAACTTTGCTTTAAAAAACACATTTTGATTGCGACAGTATATAACCTAGCAGCATTGGATCTTGGACAGCAATTATGATTAATTATATGTAGTTTAATATTGTTTTTATCCTGGTAGGCTTTATTAGTTGATGATACATTGCAAAAATGCAATTTGGCAAATCAAGGATTAAGATTAGAATATGAATATGGTTATCGGCTGTTTGCATAATCTTGAATACATCTTTAAATAACAATTTTCAGGAGCTAAATACAGCTGTAGTAATGGGTAAATCTCTCTATCACTTGCAAAATACACCCGAATCAATTTATCCTAGGAATAATCTATATTAAATATCCATCACTCAAGTACAGAAATATGAACCTTGTTTGCTTGTCTAGATATTCAAATAATAAGCTTTCTTTCAAAATATGCACATACAAAAATGATTTTGAAAATTCTAAAATTTTGAAAACTACAATTACAGTAAAACCTCTTTCTTTATTTTTCTCTTATTTCCTGTCTTTTAAATTCAAACAAAGAAAGTTAAAACGGGTACAGGATGATAGCTTGCTTCACTGTCTCTTATAACAAGACACAACAGGACCTGATTAGTTCATGTAAAAAAGCCATGAAATCAGTAACACACATACATGTAAAAGTAAATGTGAAATATCAGAGATGATAAAAAATGGCCACAAAAGACTGGAATATATGTTAATCATGATGAATAGGAACACATCACTTAGTATTGTTGTTACAAAGTATGAATCAAGAGTATTTTAAAGTATTTTGAAAGCAAATGAAATCAGGGCCCCATCATACAAACAGCTGCAATTTATTCAAATTAATCATAACTTTTAATCAATCCAACTCTGTAATAAAGAGATAGGATTTGGTTAGTTTCCAATTGATTAGAGAACTTATCTGCATCAATCGCAACACTTCATAACACGTGGCTTAGACTTAAATAAAAGCATTTAATCTGAAAATAACATGTTCACCATGAAACCATATTCTCCTTTTTCTTTAGGGAGTGTGGGGGGTAGAACTGAATATTTATCACGCAGCTGCTATAACCCTTACCCGTATAGGTTGCGGCCATCGATCCTCTCCAGGTTGCTAAACATGGAGAGGTTGGTGAAGTGTTGGTGAAGTCCCTGGACAGACAGGTAGCCAGTGATCTGCTTGACCGTTCTGAAGATCTCCAAGGCACTTGGATCGATAGGGGTGGTGCCGGCAAACGCATCACTGAAAAATAATCATGGAGAATGATAATAGTTATATTTTTGTAGCTTTTTATGCTATGTTTCTTAGCGATTCTTAAGATTCAAATGTGATTTTTCACAGAGATAATTTATTCCAACTTTCTTGCTTTGATACCTTACATCAAAACAGACAGAGCTTATCAAAGTGACATATACAGATACATATGCACCTGTACCTGGACCCTCATTGGCTAAATGGACAGACTGCCGATCTGCTTTCCTGGAGATCAGACATTTGCTTAGCCAACACTTACTCCAGGCTCCATACCGTTAAAGGTACAGGGTTGGGTCGCAATTGGGTTTGAGGTTTGGTCTAACGTTAGATTAATAATTCAGGGTTAGGGTTAGGGTTTGCATTTGGGTTATGATTACTGTTAAGGTTGTGGTAGTGGTAGTGGTTGTGGTAGTGGTTGCGGTTTTGGCTGTGGGTGTGGTTGTGGTTATGGTTATGGTTTTCATAACGGTTAGAGTTAGGTATAGTGTTGAGTCCAAGGTTGAAGTTAGGAATCCGTTTTAAGTAGGAAATTGGCTGCAGAGCAATTGTTGCCAAAGCAAGTGTCATAGACCCCTCTTTACATTCTTACCCTGTGAAGGTGTGTGAGGTTATGATGAGGTTGCCGTTGATCTGGGTGCAGTTATCAAACTGTTTACTGCGAATGTGTTTGGAGGATAAGGCTCCATCATCACCTATCCCATCACAGGCTGTAACATGAATTGGAAGGGTTTTAAAAATAGATAGACAGAGAGATAAAGAGAAGGTGAGAGACACAGTCAAAGAGGCATAATTAATTGATTATTGAGCTATTGAAACACACACAAATATCAAATGAAATGCTTCTCCTACATCCCCACCAGTTGAAGTAATAAATCCTCTCTTTGCCACAGGAAACAATGTTCAATCTAAAATAATTTGAAGGTTGAAACAGTTTTTGGACCATCCTTTTATTCAACTGATCTGTGCTCCATGTCACATAAACAGGATCATGCACTTTGATGAATACAGAAGACAATTTGACGAACAACTAAAAAATGACGACTCAAGATCTGAGCATTGATCATCTATTCATAATAACTGTCATAAAATTAGGTGTCACACTGTCATTTAACTTCTTCACCGATAGTGGTGATATCTATTTTTCAAAGATGCTATTTCCAACTGATTGGGAAAGTCAAGTTCTTCAAATTGGCAACAAACCGTTTATTGAACCTGCAACGTTACTTACTGCTTGGGCACACTCCTTCACAAGGAATGCATTGGTTGTCCTGCTCTTTCTTTCCTGGCCCACAAACCTTCACGCAATTATCACCATCTACCAAGACATTGTCTGAAAATCAAAGAGAACGGATTGATTCTTAAATTGTTTGGCAAAAGTATTGTAAAGTAACTCTTACCATTAATATTTTTGTTAACATAAGTTGGGCTTTGGTATCAATGCTCTATTCCCATCACCAAAATGAAGATATACATGTAACCAATAACTTTTACAATAGCAATGTTTTGAGAGCATCCAAGAGAAGAAGAAAGCGAGATGCATGTATAGAGATGGACAGACAGACATACTTTCAGACAGAGAAATAGACAAAAAGATAGAGAAAGAGAAAAATAGATGGCCTTTAAAGAGGTTTTAAAGATAAAGAGATATAGTAGACAGACCTGTGTAGTAAGACCAACTGTGTTTTTTTGTTTCTATTGTATAATATTTCTCATCTAATCCTGTATTAAAAACCTACTTCCATATACTAAGACCACCTGTCTATAAAGACCACATTTGACCACTCCTTTTAATTGGTCTTTACAGACATTTCACTGCATTTTTAGTGTGACGTCATGCAGGAGAAAGCAGATGACGTCCACTTTAATTTGTTTGTAGAGTTTTACTTAAGATCATACTTGGACAGTCCTTGAGACACCTGGAACCATAGGAATAGCGGAAGTTGGGGTTCTCCACGTTGGTGAAAGTGTTTCTATCGTACTCATACCGCCGAGGGCAGGTTTCCACACAAGTATTGTCCAGCGAGAATTGTCGACAAGCCTACGGAAATCATGGTAAAGAAGAATGATTAATTTAAGTTTCTAATCTTTAAAAAGAAATAATAAATGAAATAGGGACTATATTTATTCATTATCACCTATCTGTGCTCCAGTGATGTTGAGGCAGCAGACAGCATGAAACTGTGAATAATCCCTTTGCTTAATGCAGTCAACGGGAGTGAATGAAAGCTTGCCTACTAAATTTAAAAGTTGGTAGAAGCCTAAATTACATGTTAATAAAAAGACCTCTTTAAGGTATGATTGTCTGTGTCCTAAACTCTATTTTTAGCAAAGGATCCTTCTTCAGGAATGGCAAAAAGCTTTCTTCTTGCCATCCATATAATCTATATTCTTTTCACCTTTTCACCCAATAATACCCAAATTCTGAAACAATATCTCTTAGCAAACGTGGTTTGGTGCCTGGTATCTAGAAATGGCAGGTCAGGGGTTCAAACTCACCAGGCAGCCAGCATTGGATGAATTGGTGCAACCCCCAGCACAACTTCTGTGGCAGCAATCAGCTTGCGTGGGACCTCGGCAACGATAGTCACAGGTTGAGCTGCAATCCTTTAGTGTTACTGCAATCATGAAAAAAAAGACGGATTTCAACAAGTTTGGAAAGTTTATAGATACTTTCTTAGTCTAAACAACCAATTTATTCTAGTGCTTGATAACAAATCATAATTAATTTATGCTAGTTTATCCCAAAGTCTCTTTCCAGAACTCAAGGTCTATATCTGTGACAAGTCTATCTCCCTTTATTCTCTTGCTGACAAACATTATACTCCATCTATTCCAGCAGGCAAGTTAATAAGAATTAAAGATGCAAGCCCAAATGAGTTCATATTTTCACAGGGTCCCTGGGGTGGATGATTAAGCAACACCCTTGTTAACTACTCACATATCTGACAATGTTCCTCTCCTGGACCCCAGCAGTGTCCATTGCAAGATTCATGGCATCGATGTTCTGAGGATGAAAAATAGAAATGTTAAATAAAAACAAGGATATTTGCTACTAAAACATGGTGAAGTGAAATCAACATTGTGCAAATATCCAATTATTCATATAGCAGGCATAATCATTTGCAAAACGATCACAGTTTGGGCAGTCTCTTTGACAGCAACAACAACAAAATGACAATAATTATAATGTTAGTTGCGAAGATACCTCCATATTAAATTTTGTCGGAATCCTCAAATATATATCCTCCAATATAAGTGATTTCCTTGTCATTCCTCAGCATAGTTTCTTATAAATGTGTATTTTAAACAACTTGTCTTTGTCGAAATAATTATGATGGCAGCAGCAATAAACTTTCATTGGGGATGTTCATCTTACATGGCACAAGTCCATTAATACAATTCATTCATTTTACAACAAAACACTTTTGCAAATCAGGATAACTTGCAAAAGTTTCTGGTTTGACAAAAAACATGAAAATGACTTATGATCTGCTGAGAGCCAGAAGGGCATTAACTCATATATCTGTATAGGGAGTTAACACCCTTCTGGCTCAAAACAGACGTATTAATGATACTCACCGGAGCAGTTTCGTTGTGCATGTTCATCCCACATGGAGATATTGGCCACCAGGCCTGGTTGCATGTCATCCCAAGCAATGGTCTCCACATAGCAGAGCTGGTTGTTCTGATGGAAGTATACATCCCCTTTCAAGATTTCTGCAAGAAGGTCACACAGTCACAATATATAGGTCAGTCTTTCTCCCTTAATTGTAGCCCTAACTTAAATACTTTTAAATCTCCGCTTAAAACCAACTTAAAACCAGCACCTTAAGTTGGTGGCCACACATGATGACACACCTCTTTTGGAGGAATCCTACCAAGTACCAAGTCAGTCTCGGCAGTAAATAAAATGTTAGAAACGTATGTGTGTACTTTGTGCAAAAATGGAATATATATTTTTAAAAAATGTTACGTTTATTTTCTATTGAGTTAGGGGTGTTCATGTGTATTAAATGTTTCTAGCTTTTACTCTATAAAAAAAAGTCCTGTTATAATACAGAAAACTTTGATTGGTTGGGGTAATCCTGACATGTAGTTTAAGAAACAGCAAGAAACTCTATGAATTAATAATCACTTGGCTTGAGAAAGTCCACAGGAGGGACGAAAGCTTGCCTCCTAAATTTTAAGGTTGGTAGAAGCTTAAACTACATTGTTACATCCTGTTATTAAGAGATGTATAGCATCTATCCTGTTTAATCTGGTGATGAAATGTACGCTTATTAAGTTTGTAAAAGAACTTGAAAAAATGTTAATTTTAAGGGGGAAATGTTTAAAAGAGTGTTAACTTAACTTCAATATATCATGAAAACATGGGCTAATTTGTTCAAATCTGAGTTTAGACATGTATCTTTACTAGGCAATTAAATGAAATTCAAATATGTATTTTCACATTGATTATATCAAACATAATTGTTCTGTGAAGTGGTATATAAGAGCTATGAGAGGTCATGACACTGAATTTTATTCATCACTTGGCTTACCGTGTAATGATGTTAACCACATCTCTTCTGTCGCTATCGTTGGGTCTCCCGTGTGAAACGTCAACGCAACATAGAGGGCGTACTTGTCATCGTAAAGCTTCGTACCTCGGATCACCCTTAAGTTCGTGAGCGGGATCACCCGCGAGTACGTGAGCAGAATCAGAATATATCCTGTCACCTCCCGTATCGACGAGAGAAAGCCCAAATCGTACTCTTGCTCGTGGAGAAATGAAATTTCAAGGTTTCCGTCCACGTATGTACAGTTTGTATATCTATCCTTTAGCTCTTCATAGTACTGTTGGCGAGCTCCGGCGTTGTCGCTGTTGTAAGGTTTGGCGGTACCTTGATCTGTGCCAGTACATACTGCAAGGATGATAAAAAACAAATGAGAAAAAAAATTGTGAGTATGACAAATTTAGAATAATTTCTATTTATAGTCCAGTTACAGAGTTTCCACACAGGAATATTCATAATTTTTATACAGGGTGCTACATAAAAACTAGCCAATGGCCTGGCTATTTGCTTGGGTGTTTATTTGTTACACCTGGGCAGACATTCTGAAGAAACTTGTGCAAAATAATGCATTCAGAAAAAGCACTCTCTCCCCAAAATAAACAAGAATACAGACTTCAAACAAGGGGAAACCAAGTCCAACTTTAAAAACAATGTATCTTTAGCACCATTCTTTTATTTGAGGTGAAGTAAAAGACAGGATCCATACAGTTCATAATTACTAATATAATGAGCGATTTTGAGTCTGGATGAACCAAGGTCACGGAAGGGCAAGGACTCTCATTATCTATTCATTTATATGGAAATCTCTCAAACACTCATTTGTCATCCAAATCTCCAATGTATAGCAGATTAATATATATGGAAATCTCTTAAAAACATCATCAATCAAAAGAGCCAAGGCTTTCCAGGAGACCTTCACCTTTCACAAGTTTTAGAAAAATCTGCATTTCAACATTCACATACCATCATCATCTTATGCAAAATCTTGAGGAAAAATAATGGAATCAGCTACCTCCTCCAAAGCCCCAATGCCCAATTAATCTCTGACTTAATAATCTCTTCATGGCTTTGAGTTGACAAAGAAGAGTAAACACATACAACTTACAAGAACTGACTTTAGCTTCTCAAGCAGGTTGCTTTAATTTTCTTATTTTTCTAAGATGAAGACATGATCTGTAAAAACAGACTTCTCCATGATGAATGAAAACGTTTCAAGGCAATAAATTATACGGTAAGCAGGGAGTTACATGGCTCGCCATCTCCTTTATTGTGTTGTGTTGCCCCCCTCGCCCCCACCCCTCCTCACTCCCCCTTACAAACTGCTGTTCCCCCCCCCCCCGCCCCCCACCCTCCTCAACCTTACAAACCTCTGGGTCTGCCTCTAATTTGTGTGCACACGATTCGCTTTGGTTGTTGTATATACGCCACATTCCGATCTACACCACCAGGGAATAGCGGTATCAAAATATCACATAATTTCATCTTGATGCGTTCTGTATTTTGATTGAAACCTGTGTTTTGATGCTCTATGGAACACTCCTGAGACAAAGACCTGCTGGTCCCAGTTTTCACAGACAAAACATGAAATTCAAATACTGGTATCCAAATGTTCCAGCATTTTGTCTTGATGAATAGTGTATTTTGATTTAAGCCAATAAATTTGGAGTTCTATGAGCAGCAAACTCTGATATTTGGGTCATTAATGCTAGAATTGCAACCTACATTTTTATTTTTCAACAATCAGCACCACTTCACGTTTCAATTAAATCATAAAGACAGGAATTCTAAGGTAAAAAGACATACATTGAAATTTTGAAAATACGCTGTGCATGTACATCATTTTCTTAATCACACATTTTTTTGGCATTATTTGACTTTTGAATTCAATAAATATTGCCAAAGTCACATGATTTATTTCTATTTTCTTTACTCTATATTTACAAAAAAATAGAAAGAAAGTCACCCATTACAGACGTTTTTTGTTATCTTTGTATTGTTGTGAGTACAATCTAGAATAACCTGTACCAATACTAAAAAAACATCGTTCAATGTGCACTTGAACAAGCATGTAAGTACATGGCAGAAAAAAATACTAAGTAATAGTATTCTTGCACTCATATCAATCTGGCCTAAAAACATGATGATAATCCCATTCCAAGAAGGACTGGTTTAAAATCTGTGGAAACTGGGCCATTTATTTTGCTATTACGTCAAGGTGGTAATCCCAATAGACATGGCTATGGCATTGGGGTTGCTTAACACTATGATTGGCTGATATGGGTCATAAGTAGCCATGTCAAAGGGGCGTAGCCACATATACCTTGATCCGGGAGGGGGAACAGTAGGCTGAAATATTTTCATCAGTGGTACTATTTGACTTTCCAGTACACTATGGATTTGACATTCTTGTCAAATTATAAACATCTTTCAAGCTGACATAAATGCACTAACTTTTAAAGGGCGACAACAATTTTTAAAAAGGCAATTGAAAAATGACATCGTTGTCATAATAGTTTGCTGATGCAATTAAGCGAAATCAACGCTCGAATCAGTCTCCTCATTATGCAAAGTTCAATAACATTCCATAGCATTCAAACCATATTGCAAAAGATGAAATCGCAAATTCAGGGGGGAGGGGGAGGGGTAGAGACTTGCCCCTGGACCCCCTGCAACCATCCTGACCCTTGACCCTCTATATATTCACTGATATTTCTTACAGGTGGCTTACTTCACAAGATTTACAACTCTGAATTGGGATAGAATAGACAGAAAATATGATTTCATCTCTTCTGTTGTAATGCTAACCTGGGGACGCCAACTTCAATTGATTTTGAAATTGGTTAGAACAATGACTGGCCAGGGGACTTGATATCTAAAAATACTATTATTTTCACAAATTAATCCAGGTTCCCAATACTCCTGTCTGTAAAGCAAGAATCATTGTGTCTCCTAAATTCCTTACAAAAATAGAGAGATAAATCATCACTGCACAGTGTTTGCTAATTCCCTTTAAAATTCTGTACTAATCACAAAATGATCCAAAACATATTTTTTTGAAATATCTATGTAAGAAGGTATATTTTTTATCAAGTTTACTCAGATTTGAAGGATCCAGTGCCTTCTACAGTTTTTGATAACAGTAAAACGAGAAACTTTACTTTGCAAATTTCCCAAGGGGTCCAGATTTACTTGAATATCATGCTTCCAAATCACTGATTTAATGTAAATAACACTGAAATTTGTGAAGGTTGCTTGCCCTGAACCTGACTATTATTACAGTGGCATATCCAGGATGTTCTTGGGGGAGGGGGAGAGGGGGCACAATGTTTCACACTTTCACACATTAGGTGCCAACTGGGTTTGGTAGGAGGGGGACATGTGCCCTTTAATAGTGTTCCCTCCTTCTCAGATCTACCACTGCAATAACTTTAAAAAAAAAAATTCTCTCCAGAACCCCTGGTTATTTACTGTGATTCCCAGGCTATACATATTTGTAATTGCATCTTTATTGATGGAATCCACTTTGCAAACATTAAATATTGCTATGTTTGGCAAGCATTTGAGTTTTCAAGGGAAACAAGTATGCATGAAATTATTAAACAGATAATCAAGAACGTTCCGGGTTTTACAACATGCGCATTTACATTTTTTTTTAAAGCTAGATTGGTAGGCCGTTATTTTTCTTCCAATGCCATTACCCCTGAAAGAGACGTAGCACAAAAACATAGCCTCCATCTTTATGTATATCATCATTTACATTTCTTCAGAGCTCCTTGTGAGACACGTCACAACTTCTAAAATATGGCACCCTCACTCCCCCCCCCTCCCATGAAAATAGAAAGAGAAAGAGCCACTCAACAGCTACATGAATCATATCAAGTTTCTAGAGACTCTATAAGCACTTGTAAAAAGCTCCAAAATAAAGATGAGACATCTCCTGGTATCCATGTCTAATTATCAGCATATCATAAATGACCTCCATGTCAAAGGTCATAGGAGGTCAGACAAGAATGTAACACAACCTCACTAAATACTTGGCCTATTTGTACACATAACTATATTGTCATGGCAACCTGAAGTTGAGTCATCCATTTTCAAACTTTGGGGGTCATACCACGGGAGGGTAGAGTCTCTGAAATTCAAGATGTCGCCTGGTAGTTAGGGTCGTGAAAGACAGGGGTCAAGTCGGAATGTTGAACCCCCATGTTTGGGAACACTAGACATCAAGGAGGCCTAAATTGTTACAAATACAGGGTTATATATCAGTAATACATCTGTATGCACCAGTACAGTGGTATAAACCAACAAAAGTATCAATCCTACATGTAGACAATACTTAGATTTGTAAAGCCCACCACAGACTCTAACTTTCTGTGAAGATATTATCATAGTAGTGAAGTGATTATGTATTTATTATTTAGGCTCTAAAATCATCCTCATACATGCATAAAAAGAATCTTTGAGGTCATAAGTCGTACCAACAAAATTGTGGTGCATTGTGGGCTTTCCAGTCACATAAAGGGTCAGATAACCTTTAAAGCAGGGAAAGTTTTGTGACCGGTCTGATGTCCCTAGTTTCTACTGATCATTCATGTACATGTCAAAATAATTCCTGCGATTGCAGATTAGCCGATAATTATTCCTCCGAGGCAGCTCTAGAACGAAGAAGAGCAAGAAGATGAAAAGATTCCCACAAGAACAAACGGCCTTAGAACTGACAAATGATCTCACTAATGATCTCTTTCTTAATGAACCTGCTCATCATAATGGATGGGATTAGACATCAATCACCCCAAAGATGGGGGAAAGTGGGTCACTGACCCCTTCTGACCTCTGATGACCTAGATTCCACACAGGTCAATGTTGTGGTGTAACAAGAAGTCATCACAGCACTTCTTGGTTATGTTTATCAGTAAGATGATATGTTACTAAGCACATGCATAAGGTTTTGCTCCCACATTAGAATTAAAACTGCGTTATAATAAGTGAGTACATAAGTAAGGGATTTGTTTTTTCATCTAGCTTCCCTTTTAGTTCAAGATATAAAATTTTGAATAGTGCTCTCTCTCCCTCTCTTTCTCTTTCTCTCTCTCTCTCTCTCTCTCTTCTCTCTC